TAGTGGCCGAAGGAAAAAGCTGGACGCCCAACGTGGGGCTCGAACCCACGACCCTGAGATTAAGAGTCTCATGCTCTACCGACTGAGCTAGCCGGGCGGAAGGCGGTCACTTCAGGAGAAAATGATCCACTAGATCTCTGTTATATCTTCTTTGCGCGCATACAGAAACAATAAACATAGGCTTAAGATGAAAATCATTTGCAAAAGCTCTTTTCAGCCCATTCGTTAACTTACTAGCAAAAAAAGAAAAGGTTAGACCCTTGCCGTTAGGCTTAAGAGTCCCATGCTCTATTGAATAAGCTAGCCGGACGTATTTGAGGAAGGTGCATCACTTTACTTTGTCCCAACCACCACAAAACTGCATAATTTTGAATGTTTTAACTAAAAGAAATCAAAGGTATATATAAATAACCTACCTAACCTACCCCTCCCCTAATACAACGCTAACACTAACTTCTAATTTATGACAAAATGTTGGGTAAGGGGAGAGGTGCATAAGCAGTTTCTCAGAATCTTATCCTGATCCCACTATTCACCACACAAAATGGAGTACACTCACTGGTAGGCTATTCTGTTTTTCTGCACAGGTGTATTCAAGGTCCCAGCCAGGTATATCTGTGGTTATGACCCTTGTAGTGGAGCCACTTGCACTTCGGATCCCACAGCACGTTGTCTTGTGGACCATACTTGTAAATCAATGTTCGTCAATGCCTATAACCAGAAGACAAAAGGCTGCAGAGGTTAGTAAAGGTATTTGGTCATCTGAGTTAGGATGACAGTGGTCTTATAACACGCACAGCAGGACCCAGTTGTTCGATGGCCGATTAGCGCTAACTCAGCGTTAAATTAAAATCCGGATTGAAAGTCTGGGAAATTTTCTCTGCTCTTTTTAGAGCATCCAGTCATCAAATTGTAGACAAAAAGAATTAAACTGAGTAAATCTATATGTTTGAAATTTCGCACTAACGGTGGAATATCTCGCCCAGGTTGGGCGTGTTAAGGAATTAGTTCTGATTTTTATAAAACAAACAAATATAGCCTGAAAAGCAACTGACATTTAACGGCGCCACCACAGGTTTCCCCGCGAAATGACGTCTGAGACGCGAGTGCAAAATTCCACACAGATGACGTATCGCTAACCAGATTTGGGTAGTGCTGCTTCTGATAGGGTTGAAGCAAATTTCTTTCACGGCAGGACCAATCGGAAGCAAAACCCAGATCTGGGTACTAACACGTCATCATTATGGAATTTCTGCGCTTTTGTCTCAGACGTCTCTTGCCGGGAAACCAGTGGGGGAGTCGTGAATTGTCGGCTGTTTTCTCAGGCTAAAAAAACAATAACAAAAAATAGTAGCGCAGAAAGAGGGGTCTCATGTTTAATCAGCTAATGAGTTCCATTATTTCGCTGGATAAAAAGGAGCGAGGTAACACTGTTTATGACTGCCTCTTGTTGTATGAAAAGTAATTAGATTTGCTTTGGATTTGTTTTGTAGGACTTTGTGGTTAGCTTGAACACTAAGAAGGGTTATATGCCCGAAAAGTTTGTTTCTTCAAAGACATTTATTACACTTTTTTATAATTTGTTACAATATCATCCTATGAGCTTTTAGTCAGAAAAGTCGTTCTTATTTATCACCTCTTATTTAGCTCGTCACCACATTATCAAAGACGATGAAGAGGGGGAGCAAGTCAGGGAGGAAGGAAATGCTAGCGATGATGAAGATCAGTTAAGCAAATTGGTGGATTCAAAATTAAACGGTGATGACAAAGATACTGATGCTGAAGATGAAGACGATGCTGACGACGATGGCGCACGTTTAAGAAAATTGATGCGTAGTGCAAAGCTTAGCACCCGTGAAAAATCCAACAATAACGATGATGAAGATGATGATGATGATAACCAAAAGTCAAAGGATAGTGGGGAAGTGGTTGAGAGTGTCGAAGATAATAGCGATAATGAAATTCTAGCCAAGTTGTTGAAGTCAAAGCTAAGAGGCAAAGAAAAACTTAACGATAACAAAGATGATGATGATGACGATGATAATGATGATGAAAGTTTACAAACCGAAGACAAACTTGCCAGTTCAAAAGAAGACGCCAGTGATGAAAATAGCGATGGTGACGATGACAACATTGATGCCAACAATTCTAACGAAACCGATGACAACAAAAAGCGAAGTAAATTTCCGCTGAGATTTAAACCTCCAAAATTGAAGGATACCCACAAAAGAGTTAAGAAGAGCAGATTTAGACATCCTAAGAAAAAATCAAAGCACTTGAAATCGAAGCATAAGCGATGGTTAGAGACTGCAAGCTGAATCACTTCATGGTTGGTTCATGATATCGGTTGAGCCCAAGAAGTGCTACATGTAGCATGTTCAAGTTGGTTTTCGGCTCATTGCAATGTCTAACAAGAGAAGGCAATTTCTTTTAATAAGAACCAACAGGACTTTGCAGCAGTGCAATGCAGAAGAGCATCGTTCGACCGACTAAACCTTCTTACCCAGTGAGTAAAGTGTCCAGTTAGGAGAGATGTCCGCTTATGACCCTCCAATATCGAAATACAAATTCTCCAGACTGATCTCCCTATTAATTTCCTTAAACAATAAGTTAACAGAATTTGTTTAAAGATAAATCAATTTCGAGGGTCTTAATGGCTTTGGCGGTTGACGGTTAAACTTTAGAGCTTTTGACGGTTGAGGGTACTGAATTAAGTGGAAAGTTTGACCAAGAGTTTAAGTAAATATTAAAGGGGCTGTGTCACGGCAGTCCAGTTAATTTTCTTTAATTTGCCAATTACTCGCCCTCAATCGCTATGGAACTTAAAGTAAGCAAAGAAATAACATGTAAATGACAAAATCAGAGACCCGAGACAAACAAATATGTCTCCTGAGCATTATTTTTGAAGTTCCAAGCAGCAGGGATCAACTTTGAAAAACTGTTAGGCTGAACAGATTTCAAAAATCCTAATTTCAATCCGTTTCAATCTTCTTCAGTTTTGCCCATCCGTGACATCCGTTGTTTCTGTTATCTGATTTTAACCTTCCTTTAACGTTTTAAGCGGTTATTTTTATGTTTCTCTTAATTTAACGGGTATTTTTAATTTCCTAATTTGGCTGATTTTCGTGACACAGCTCCTTTAACCTCTGTATAAATTAATACTAACTGTTGTGTTTTGAAGGTTGAGTCATGGCCTTTCACTCACAAAATTCCGAAATATTTTCGGATAAGAAATATTTTCGGATAAGGGCAAGTTGTGTGGTCTTGTAATGTCTAAAAAAGTGTTTTCGAGACTACGGGAGCTGGTTTTCCACTTTAGGGACTCTTCAGGAGCCAGAAACCCTTAAAGACTAGCTGAAGTAATGAGATTTGAAATACCTTTTAAAATTTTTTTGACGGTTGACGGTAAAAAATAACCTTTTTTGACGGTTTATGGTTAAATTTTAAGGAACAAGAGATGTTTAGATGGAAGAATAGGTACGGGGTCTACGACCTCGCCTCGGTAATCATATTAGTAAGTTTGCGCAACAGAGGCAGGAAGAAGAGGACGGCAAATCGCATGCGCGTGGCGACAAGGCTGTTACTTGCGTGTTTTGTCGTGATCTTCATTAACATCAATGTTTTCTGGTCTTTTACAAAAAGATCTGTTTAAAGGAAAGTGAAGTTTGGCGAAAAGTTATTTCAAACAAAATTATTGTCTCGTTTGTCACACAAAGTTTGGCGTCTTCTTTCCTCTCCCGTCCTGTTGCGTAAGTCCACTATTTTGTTAAGTAAATAAGAGGGCTATATCCGTGGTAAGCGTAAGGCGAGGAGGGGGAAAACTCGCGCTCTCGTGCCCTAGCGCGCCAGAAGTCCCCTGTCCCCTTTCCCTTTTAACCCCTACCACACAGGCTATGGCTGATGGGATAACGGAAAAGATTGTCCCACCAAGAACTATTGTCTAACGACTCTTACCGCCTTTTATCAAGCACTGAAAGCATTTCCCATTATTTCTAACAGGCGATAATCTTTACCTGAACGTAAATGCTCAAACGGTTTGTCGTTTTGATCCCTGCAAGTATACCACCTGTCTTCAAGGTACTGCCGCCAAGTGTGTTGTCAACACCAGGTGCCATCCCGTGTTTCTTGATGCTTTTGGAAAGATTATGAAATGCAAAGGTATGATTATTTGTAGCAGAAATAATAATGCAGAATCAGAGATAGGGTCGAAGGCGTCGTAGGTAAACATATTTTTGGGAACGCAATTAGGTGAAGACGTGGTTGTTTAGCTAAAGCTGATATCTTGGAAATAAAGCTTTCACGGTGAAGCGGTGAACGGAGAACAAAACGTTTGTCGCGGAGTAGCTGGGTAGAGGGTGGTCGCGGGGAATGAGAAGGGCTGATCACCTCGGGCAAAAAGGCTCGCACTCACGCAAAAATTCATCTGAATCTTGGGAGGAAAACATCCCGCTTTTAACACTGGAAATTCATGATGTAAACGCGGTTTAAAATGATATGACCGGCGACAAAAGGGGTGCAAATAAAGAAAAACCGGTAGAAAGGTATTAAAATGACGCCCAACGTGGGACTCGAACCCACGACCCTGAGATTAAGAGTCTCATGCTCTACCGACTGAGCTAGCCGGGCGCTGTTGTGCTGGCAAGTTGCGGCAGAATTATAGGATCTTCAATCTCAAATAATTAACTGGACTACAGTTTCTTCGAAAGTACCCGATCCTATAATCCTGGCCTCACCTTACCAAAAGTTCTGTCTATGTCTACTTTGCAAGCACGCACAAAAAGGCAACCATAAAAGAAGGATCAAAATATCATTTCCGCAAGTTATTCAGCACATTCCTTTACTTGCAAAAAATAAAGTAGTGGCCGAAGGAAAAAGCTGGACGCCCAACGTGGGGCTCGAACCCACGACCCTGAGATTAAGAGTCTCATGCTCTACCGACTGAGCTAGCCGGGCGGAAGGCGGTCACTTCAGGAGAAAATGATCCACTAGATCTCTGTTATATCTTCTTTGCGCGCATACAGAAACAACAAACATAGGCATAAGATGAAAATCATTTGCAAAAGCTCTTTTTAGCCCATTCGTTAACTTACTAGCAAAAAAAGAAAAGGTTAGACCCTTACCGTTAGGCTTAAGAGTCCCATGCTCTATTGAATGAGCTAGCCGGACGTATTTGAGGAAGGTGCATCACTTTACTTTGTCCCAACCAGCACAAAACTGCATAACTTTGAATGTTTTAACTAAAAGAAATCAAAGGTATATGAAAATAACCTACCTAACTTACCCCTCCCCTAATACAACGCTAACACTAACTTCTAATTTATGACAAAATGTTGGGTAAGGGGAGAGATTCATAGGCCGTTTCTTAGAATCTTATCCTGATCCCACTATTCACCACAAAAAATGGAGTACACTTACAGGTAGGTTATTCTGTTTTCCTACACAGGTGTATTCAAGGTCCCAGCCAGGTATATCTGTGGTTATGACCCTTGTAGTGGAGCCACTTGCACTTCGGATCCCACAGCACGTTGTCTTGTAGACCATACTTGTAAATCAATGTTCGTCAATGCCTATAACCAGAAGACAAAAGGCTGCAGAGGTTAGTAAAGGTATTTGGTCATCTGAGTTAGGATGACAGTGGTCTTAAAACACGAGCAGCAGGACCCAGTTGTTCGATGGCCGATAAGCGCTAACCAGGGTTAAATTAAAATCCGGAAATTGTCGGAAATTTTTTTTTTTAGAGTATCCAGTCATTAAATTGTAGACAAAAATAATTAAACTGAGTAAATCTATGTCTTCTTTGAAATTTCGCACTAACGGTGGAATATCTCCCCCAGGTCGGGCGAGTTAAGGAATGAGTTCTGATTTTTATAAAACAAACAAATATAGCCTGAAAAACAACTGACATTTCACGACGCCACCACAAGTTTCCTCGCGAAATGACGTCTGAGACACCAGCGCAAAATTCCACCCAGATGACGTATCGCTAACCAGAGCTGGGTAGTGCTTCTGATAGGGTTCAAGCAAATTTCTTTCACGGCGGGACCAATCGGTAGCAAAACCCAGATCTGGGTACTAACACGTGATCATTATGGAATTTCTGTGCTCTTGTCTCAGACAACTTTTGCGGGGAAACCAGCGGGGGTGTCGCGAATTGTCGGTTGTTTTCTCAGGCTAAACAAACAATAACAAAAAATAGTAGCGCAGAAAGTGGGGTCTCATGTTTAATCAGCTAATGAGTTCCATTATTTCGTTGGATAAAAAGGAGCGAGGTAACACTGTTTATTACTGCCTCTTGTTGTATGAAAAATAATTAGATTTGCTTTGGATTTGTTTGGCAGCACTTTGTGATTAGCCTGAACACTGAGAAGGGTTATATGCCCGAAAAGTTTGTTTCTTCAAAGACATTTATTACACTTTTTTATAATTTGTTACAATATCATCCTATGAGCTTTTAGACAGAAAAGTCGTTCTTATTTATCACCTCTTATTTAGCTCGTCACCACATTATCAAAGACGATGAAGACGGGGAGCAAGTCAGCGAGGATGAAAATACTAGCGATGATGAAGATCAGTTAAACAAATTGGTGGATTCAAAATTAAACGGTGATGACAAAGATACTGATGCTGAAGATGAAGACGATGCTGACGACGATGGCGCACGTTTAAGAAAACTGATGCGTAGTGCAAAGCTTAGCACCCGTGAAAAATCCAACAATAACGATGATGATGATGACGATGATAACCAAAATTCAAAGGATAGTGAGGAAGGGGTTGAGAGTGTCGAAGATAATAGCGACAATGAAATTCTAGCCAAGTTGTTAAAGTCAAAGCTAAGAGGCAAAGAAAAAATTAACGATAACAAAGATGATGATGATGTCGATGATGATGATGATAGTTTACAAACCGAAGATAAACTTGCCAGTTCAAAAGAAGACGCTAGTGATGAAAATAGCGATGGTGACGATGACAACATTGATGCCAACAATTCTAACGAAACCGATGACAACAAAAAGCGAAGTAAATTTCCGCTGAGATTTAAACCTCCAAAACTGAAGGATACCCACAAAAGAGTTAAGAAGAGCAGATTTAGACATCCTAAGAAAAAATCAAAGCACTTGAAATCGAAGCATAAGCGATGGTTAGAGACTGCAAGCTGAATCACTTCATGGTTGGTTCATGATGAGAAAGGTTGCAAAATGGACAAATTTAATAATGGAAATTATGAAACCTTTACGAACACTATTATTATTGGTTTCGGTCAACCTTTTANTGAAGGATACCCACAAAAGAGTTAAGAAGAGCAGATTTAGACATCCTAAGAAAAAATCAAAGCACTTGAAATCGAAGCATAAGCGATGGTTAGAGACTGCAAGCTGAATCACTTCATGGTTGGTTCATGATGAGAAAGGTTGCAAAATGGACAAATTTAATAATGGAAATTATGAAACCTTTACGAACACTATTATTATTGGTTTCGGTCAACCTTTTATATCGTCTTGACTGTTCCAAAGCAGTTACCTTCCCAATGCTTGCCCTTACAATTCCAGTAGGGGGAGAGTCTAACTTTGGGTTGAATGTTTAATAGATCGTTTCCCGGAATAACAATGTATTCACTTTGGAGCCAGGCTGAGCTTTTTGTACTCTCCATACATCTGAATATTGTATTTTGTACGGTGTTACAGATGTTACAGTCAAGTCATTACCGTAAGAAGCACTCTTTAGAGATTCATTCTTCTTTCTGAGAAAAGTCATCCAAAGCCCACTTTTCAGTAAGAATGCGGTAACGCAGCACGATGATTGCTTCTAGTGGGCATGCAGTTTTGATGGATTTTTGTTTGCTTTTTGAAGTCAGTGGTGAAACTTTTATCCTTAAAGAATTAACGGCATTACATATTTTTTTAGGTCACAGTCATTTGGTTCTTGAACAATATGTTCGTTAAGCAGTCACTGGATAAAATTAGCTGTCCTCAACTTGAACATGCTCCAATGATAACTTGGCTTCCTTTTTTGAGCATCTCTTGACCTGTTCGTAAATAATCTCCTTGACAACCAAACATTTTTAACAGTTCTCAAATTGGAAATTCTCAATAATATTTTCTCAACAGATACGCCTTTCCTTTCACAATTTTAGGTCTAAACAACTCAACATCAACATGGTCATAGTAACCAAGACCTCAGCTCCGGAGTAGACAGACTTTCTAGCTGATTCTTACTCTTCTTTTTTGCATTTCTTGGCAAAAAAAAAGAACACTGTGAGTCGTCTCAACGGCTTTTGATCACCTTGGTAACAAAACTGATCATGTTTAAAATAAAAATGAAAAGCACTTGTGCAATTGTTTTTTTTGAAGCGCACATAAAAAGAGAAGACGCCCAACGTGGGGCTCGAACCCACGACCCTGAGATTAAGAGTCTCATGCTCTACCGACTGAGCTAGCCGGGCTGTTGCACTATACATAGCAGACATTTTGATTGTGATTCGTTTTACTCTAAAGGCCGATTATAACTACATTTCGATTTTCATATAGACATTAAGCGATAATTAATCTATTTTTGTAAATAAAACGGCAATTTATTGCGCTATCTAAAGTCTGTTATTCAGTTTTTTTAATCTGGGAACCTCGTTTCCGCCTTGAAAACGATAGGACAACGAAATAGTATAAAGACTTCGGTTTATACTTAAGGATATTCTTCCGGATTCATTGATTTTCCCAGATTAATTACAATTGGGATGTTCGGATTCGTTTATACTAAAAAGCAATCTCCTCTAGTGTGAACCTAGCCCAATAGTTGTACATGCAATTGTTTCGAGTAGAATACCATGAAATATACAACGAGTTCGTCTTGTGCAACGACGAACCTTTTAGTCTTGGATAACACACGAATCAACTACAGGATAACCCTGACTCGTCCCCAGTCGTCTCTCTTGAGAAAGGAGAGAAGCGCGAGGGGTGATGGGAACGAGGATAGGCCCGATGGAACGGCCTATTTCCAAATTTAAAATTTCAGCACCGTCCGCCATTAATTCGTCCGCCACCTTGAAAACAGGATCTGCCAGTCGTCTCTCCCCTTTCCTCCTTCCCATCACCCCTCGCGCTTCTCTCCTTTCTCAAGAGAGACGACTGGGGACGAGTCAGCATAACTTCCACGTAAAATGAATACTAAACCTTTACATCATAGGTTATAACGGAAAAAGCCGTTTTTCGAGTTAACCCGCACCTTTCAAGTTTGCGCGCTTACCGATGACTGGTTGAATTCTTTATGACATTGGATATTATAAATAATGCAGTTCGGCAGGACTAATAAGGGATTCCCGACTATTTAAAGACAAAACACTATCATATATCGTAGGCGTTAACAATTGTAAAACAAGCGGGTTCGTGAAGGATGCAATACCGCTAGTTTGGGTCTCCTGTGCGTTTTTAGTTACAGCTTCATGAACAGTTCTTGATTATGTCAAGATGTTTTAACTTGAAATTGCAAATGATCTGCGTGAACAGCATTTAAGCTTTAGACAGCACCTTGGTACAGAGGTTTGAAAACCCGACGGTGTCCAGCAGAGAGGCATATTTGCTTTCACCTGCCTTGGCTTACAACCCGTGGAGTAAGACCAAGGTCTAAAACGATCTATTCATGATCCCTGGAGCACTCCCCGAATCTCATGCTACAGTAAGCTCAATCAACATCATTGTTGTATACATGTCATACGATATTATAAACGTATGAAATTTTAATAGATAACTCAACCATGAATAACACAGAAACCAACCGTAAGGTGTGTGTGGTGTGGTAACGGAAAGAAAAGGTGGCCGTTAGTGGAGGTACGACTATACTGCAGGTTGACCATTTATTCTCTAACGTGGTACCTTAATACACACCCTGTTACGCTTCATCTCTTTTACTACGCTCAGTCAGGCGGTGCTACGTCAATTAAAATCCACTCATGCGCGCCGAAAGATTACTCACTCGCTTATATTGTGATTCAACACTGTTCTCGTAAAGGATACAGCAACAAAAATGGGTTGAAAGAAGAGAATGGGAGGAAATCACAACTCTAAAGGCATTTGGATTTGTATTGTTCTAACGCTATGTGTCAATACAAACTGCAAGGGAGGTGGCCGGCAAGGTGAAGGTACATATTGAAGTGAATTCAAGTGTTAATTATGTTACACCTGTTTTGCTAATTCGCCTTGCGAAATTTAATTATACAAGATTGAAATAAGACATACTGAGCAAAACGTTTATATTAAAATACAGACACAGCACTTAGTAGGATAAGACCAACGTTTGTAATCTAAGGTGTAATTCCTCGTTTATTTTTCAAGTGCTGCTCTCAATATTCATTATCGAAGTTACGAGAGTTGGTTTGCCTAAGTGACCGCCTAAAACAGGTGTGATAGATAATTTTTGCCTTGACAAAATTAAATATAAACTAGAGAGAATTTTACTGATCAAAATTTTTTCGATAGGTTATTGAACTGGAAAGCGTTCAGGACGTCGCACGTTTCAATTTAGTTTAAGTTTAAAGTTCAGCAATAATGGACTCACATAGAAATATTTCAGCAGCTTATAATGACCAGAAATGTATGCTTTCCAGTGAGCGTAGAGATGTACATTTTTAACCATCAAAATGCAAGGTATTTTTGTACAATATTTGGCTGCGAATCCTTTACTACAGCCTAAAATGTAACCAAGATCTCTTGCAAAGGGATCTTGCGTCCCATTCTATCGCCCATTCAAAATAGAAGAACGAGAAGGTGGTTGAATCGCGTGGGTGAGCGCGCTGCGCGTGTCTCGTCACGTTATTTTAGTTACCAAGAACAAAGTGAGAGCGGAATCAAACAGGAGGAAAACGCCTTTTCATTAACAACCCTATAGAAAGTTTTGGATCAAGTACAAAACGTTTTGACCATTTTTGAGCTTGGTTTGAGTCATATGAACACTTGCTGATGGTAGATAGTAGACGTACTTGTTTTATCTAACTATGGGGGTCTTCTATGCTGTTCTTCATTCTATTGCAATAGGCCAAAAAGACTTTGCCCAAGTTGAAAAAAGTATGGACTCAAAAGACTTGATGTTTCGAAGAAATGAAAACCATCAGCCATCTGTCTCGAACGAAGAAGTAATAGAGGTGGTAGATGACAACAAAGCTCAACCTTTTGATTTATTACCTGCTGAGCCAGCGCCTGAATCACTCGTTGAAGTTGTGGACGAAACCGACCACAATGAGTCTCAGGGTGGTAGCAATGAATTGAAAAACAGAAAAGCCTCAAAATCCTCTCTGGAAAGCAACAATTCTTTCATTCCGGAGGCTGTTTATAAGGCTCAACGAAACAACCTGTATGCCCCACTGATGCTTCATCGGCAAAACGTTCACATAAATACAAAAGAAAGTGCAAAAAGACAACATACATTCAAGTCAATGATAGTTCCAAGGGTTTCCATTCCTGGTGAACAAGGGATATTAATCAGAAATAAGGAGCGCAATGTGTCAAGCGCCCATGACGATTTCGACAAGTTCATTTCTACGATAGGGCTAGATAAATCGTCTAATCTGATTCGCGTGATTCCTGAGAAGGATATTACTTTTAGCCCACCCCGGACAAGCAAGAAAGCACACTGGTCAACGAAAACTATCAAAGGAACGTCCAAGAGTCTATCCGATGCACCACAGTCAGTCAACGTGTCTAAGGATTTACCTTTAAAGGAGAACGGGAGCATTTTGCCACTGAAACCTCAATCAGAAGGGAAAAATCAATCAAAATCAAAAGAACAATATCAACCAAAAAGCAATTATAGTGTCAGCGTGAAAGTTCTTTCTTCGGCGAACACGACGGGATCACAGCAGCCAATTGAAATGCAGTTTACAACCCTTTACAACAGAACTCACGTTGGTTCTATGGGTGCTGAGCAGAAAATTGACAAGAACTGTACCAAAAAACTGAGATTGCAAGACAATTGCGGAAAAACCCAAGGAAGTGATAGCGTAGAACTGAATAAAAATACTAACAAAAAAGACCTCGCAAAAATACCGCAGAATTCTAGTTACAGCAATTCCTCTAAAGAAAATCCTCGCAATTCTAATAGCAAACCAAATCAGCTACCAGCTCTGAAGGTAGTCCATGATACTAAAGATACGTCTGCTTTTAACCTGACTAATCCGTCGGCCACACCGATGATGAGACTTAATCCTACAATTACGAAACATTTGTACGATTTAATAAGGTTCTTTAAGACCTTCAATTTTCCAGTTAATGATACAAATAATAACCTCGGATCAAACAATGTGACTCATACAAATAAAACCATGAGGAGAAATAATGCAACAAACAAAAGCGACAAGCACATTTTGGAAAATATGCAGAGAGTTTTAAATTTTTTCCAGGCTAACAGATCCGATGGAAATGACATGAGAAACGTAATAGGACTGACAAACACTTCTCGCTCGCCTTCATATGACAAGGGAAAACGGCTCCAGCTATCGATTTACAGCGGGTGGAAAACGGCAAGTAAACGCAAAGAACTTCAGTTAAAGGAAAGTGACTCAAAGATTCTCAGGCAGACTCAAAGAATCAAGTTTTCCTCTAAGACAGAGGAAAACTTGACTAAAAATGAAGGGGGAGCTCTTGAGATTCGTCTTTTTGAGTTAATGAAAAATGTTAGTAGAAAAGAACTTGATAACCTAAAGAGCGACATCTTGAAAGCACTACACTCAAAACGACTGAGGACTAACGTCTCGGGAGAACATCACCAGTCAACTCAACGGCAACATCATAACGATCTAGGAAAACAGGAAGCCATAAAAAACCAAAAGCAACATGCACAAAAAGTAGTACCTCACCAAATGCAACAGAAAAGCGCACATCAAAACATTGATAATGCTTTTGAACTCGGCCTGTTTGAATTGATGAAAAATGTGAGCCAAAAAGAGCTTGAAAAATTGCGAAATGACATTATAAAGACATTGAGTTTCGAAAGACTGAGGAGTTTCTTAAGAGAACAGAAGCATCCTCATTTGCGACCACAACATCACATGCCTCTTGAAAAACAAAGCCAAGTATATAAACAAATACTGAATGGGAATAATAGCAACGGAACAAACCTTGGAAAAGGGCAACTTGAACAGAAGCAAAAGGTGCACAATCACACAGAGAAGGTGTACATGTTTCCACATGGAAAAGTCGACATAAAGATTGCTCAGCCAAATCAAACAGGGAAAAATAAAGACAATGACCACAATCAGGAGAACAAAGAAGCTGGGAAAGCGATGTTGCTTCTTAAAAATTTTCAAGTTAAGAGGCCGCGACTTCTAAAGCTAAAGATGGCTTATTCAAAGAATTCTAAAACACATCCAAACTGCAGCTCGGTCAACTTAAATGGTGCCGCGAAACATATTGAGAATGGGTGTGAGCAAAACTTGAGTTCTAATAATTCGGTCTTCCTTACCGATCAAATCAAACATTTCTTCAAAGACTACCTTGCAACTACAAAGTTAGATTCCGGTAATGACAATCAAAAACACCTGTGGGAGGGACGACGAAAACAGCAGGAGGAAAGTTCTTCCACTTCAAAAGAAAAAGGGGAAAAACCTTTGAATGAAAAACAGGGTGTCACAAAGGAAACAAGAGTCAACAAAATAACGAACTTTCGTCTACATGAGCAATCACCAGAGGTCGGACAAACGCAAATTCCAGCTAACCACTCTTCAAAACACCGTGTAGCATTAAGCATGTCTTATGTAGCGAATTCTACAAAAATTCAAAACTGTAGTAATCACCATTTGAAGCACCAAAACGAACTTGGGTGTCATCAAAAAGTCAGTTTTAACCCATTAGCTGTTCTTGCAGCTTCTGTTGTACATCCCAAGTTCGAAGGAATCAAGCCAGAGACTTCCAGTAATCTTCATCTGAATGCTTCGCATAATGATTCCGCGTTTGGGAGTCGTCCACTATTCAGACTGACGAAAAAGCTTCAAAATAAAGGTGGGAACAGCGTGATTATAACAAAACGCCCAACAGTTCCAAAACTAACAATGCATCATGATGTAAATGACGTTAACCCGAATATACCCACCCAGGAAGAAGCAGATCTTATAGGAGAATATTCTCAAACGCAAACCCTGGTGCAAAAACTAGGACCGGATGAAGTTGAATTGACTGAGTATGTCGAACAAGGTAAGCCATGATTCCACGATGCAAATTCACCTTTACGTCCAATGTCTGAGTTTCGGGATCAGGCTATAGTGTACATTGTACTGCGCCTACTAGTGACAAATTACTCTTGTGCAAAAGCAATATAGTTTTAAGAGATGGTTGGTCCACGAAAGATTAAATGTTTGCATGAGAAGAACAAGTAGGAGTAGAGTTCTTCGATTAAAAAAGACGGAAAAAAAAGCCTTTTTATAGTTTAAAGGCCCAGGGCTTTTTATGCAAGGGAATTTCAACCTTTTTATTCTGTCGATAATAAATCCCACGGTGGAATATTCAGATGTCACCTACGTAGTCTTTTATGGCATCAATTTCATATCTTATTGTTCGCTTTTCAGCCTTTCACGAAAAGAAATTTGAATTTTTCCACTTTGTCGATGGCAACGTTCGAGGTAAAAGGTTTAATGACACGTACGACGTTCTTACAATCTGGCCACAGTTAACTGTTGATTATTTCCATGTTACACAACTCAAGGAATATCAACCATTAAAACAATACTAATAACTTTACTGACAGCGTCTGATAAAGGGAATCTCACAGTTATGTGGTCTGAGTGGTCACCCTGTTCAGCGTCCTGTGGCAATAAAGCCACTAGAAGAAGAACTCAGTACAGATGCATAAATGGTTCGCGCGAGATTAGAGAATGCGAGGTCGGCGGTGAGCAGCAAGAAACATGCGCGAATAAGCCGTGTCCAGGTATGTATGTATCATTAACCATATGCCACTGTATTTCGCATTTTACACACGATGAAACATTACATGTCTTCGGGACAATGTACAGCTAAAACCTTGTATGAAGTAGACCTCATATAAAGTGCCTGCCAGACTTTCATTCTACTAATCTCTACGAAGAAACCTATAGATAACCTACTACGCAGACGTTCCTAGGGATTCGTCACGAGTTACTTCTCCACGTGTGTCTATACTCCCGATGTATAAATTAAATGTACTGCGTCTATTTCTAGTCAACGGTGGTCTGAGTAAGTGGTCAGAGTTTAGCCAATGTTCAAGGACTTGCGGAGGAGGGGTGAGCAAGCGCTATCGTCAATGCAACAATCCAGAACCTCGACATGGAGGAAGGAAGTGCAATCAGAGTGACATGCAAGAAACAAGATCGTGCGGCAACATTAAGTGTATAAATATTCTCAAGGGTAAGTGTACATTGCAAAATACCCTTATTCAATATTCCTTCCATCAGAGGTGGGCATTACACATAAGACCTTTGCGTGAGGTGTCCACGAAATATCAAAAAGCGTGCAACTGGAAGCTTGCCAGCTTAGTGCGGGACCGTTTTTGCTTGTTTGTTTTGTTTTAGAGAGCACGGGAACGTCGTGGTCTTATAGGAGTAGTTCGTAGTCTTATAGGAGGCGGCGTTGCCGAGCGGTAAGGGCGCTGGACTTGAAATTCGGGGGCCCCGAGTTCAATTCGCGGTCTGACCGCTAGCTGGATTTGTTTTCGGTAGTCCCGAGTCCAATCCTCGGCCTCACTTAGCCAACTGGTTAGCATCCGACCTGTTCGGATTCTTAACCATGTTATGTCTCATTTAAATTAGATTCAATATCCCTGAAAAGCCCTACAAGGGGAGAGGATAATTAAAGTATTATTATTATTATTATTATTATTAACGTCGTGCTGGAACATTCGATAACAGAGTTTTTCGGCTGCAATAAAAAGACTGGACAGAGTGAACATTCTTCATTACTACCTTAGAATTTTTTCATCTAAGTTGATTTCTCTAAATTTGCTATAGGTATTCACGTTGCTAAAGTAGACCCTAAATCACTCTGCGAGTTTAATCCGTGCGAAGAAGTTGGCTGTTTGTATGAACCAGCAGCAAAATGTATTGTCAATTTTGATTGCAACCCGGTCTTCTTCGACGCCGAAGGCAATATGCTCCCAAAGTGCAAAGGTAGGTAAGTGGTTACGTCAAAATAAGCGCATCTTGTAAGCACCGTTATCAAGGGAGTCCAGTCAGGCCAGGACGGATCTAGGGAGGGTGGGGGAGGCTCTCTCGTACTACATATTTAGTACTTTCTTAATTTTGAAGAGAGTAATCTACAAACGCTTAATCGTTAAATGCTCAACATTTTTATTCCGGTGAAGTAGATGTGCGAACTCTAACATTTATGTAACGTAGTAATCTTTAGATCAAGCAATACTTTTCTTAAACAAGGGATTCGAGGGATTTCCACATCTCGGTCACAGCAACCTAGTGGATGGTGCACCCAAACATGCCATAATTCAGACTATAAATTTCTCAGCCAATTTTATTCAACTTTTTATAGGAAAGAACGGACTGTATTCTCGCATTCCTGATGTAATTTGTAACTTCAATCCCTGCGTCTCCGAGCGGTGCTGGGAAATCAGAGACCAGTGTGTCGTTGACTTCAATTGCAGACCTATATTCATTGGAATTGACACACGAGCAATACCATTGCGATGTCGAGGTACCAGCATTGGCCATTTCCTTGCAAAATTGTCAGGTTTCAAAATTATATTCCTCAGGCCACTTAAGGCATGACTATCTAATTAAATATGCATATTTTGATAAAATGCTATTTAGAACGGTTTGCTTCTATCAATGATCCTGAAAATTGAACTACAAATGTAGCTTAATGCCCTTGGCAATATGAGTGCATTTTAGAAGCTCAAATTTTCGTCCCGTGACTGATAATTGAGAATTAACGGTCAAAATATTTACTCTATAATGGGGAAAGGATAATGAAAGAGCAACAAGTTCTTTTAGGTACATTTCAGAGGCTATTAAAAAGGTTCTTATAAATTCGCCTTGTGTGTGTGTTTACGTTATATAGGAACCGGTAAATAAAGGGAAAAGGGTCACGTGACTTATTAATTGGTTAAATAGCTAATAGGATGAATAACATTTCCAATCATACAAGGCGAATTTACGATTTACACTGTTTATGTAACATTTTGGTAGTGAAAATTCCTAAGATTAAGGTTTGCAACCCTTCCCCATTTAGGAAGACGTGTTTTGTGACGTCATTGACGAAGCAATGTCACGTGTTATCTGAAATCACATTTCACATGTTTTTTTTCGTTGAGCCACATTCGTAGTTCACTTTTCAGGAGCACTGATGGAAGCAAACCGTTCTAAATAGCATTTGCTAAAATATGCATATTTAATTAGGTAGTCATGCCTTAACTGGCCTGGGTTCACTCAAAGACATACACTACACGAACACTTGCTAGGACGATCTAGTGTTCAACACATTGTGTCATGGGTTTTGCAACAAAATCAAATGAACAGTCCTCTTAAGCCTCCACGGTTGGAGAGCGGCTCTCAATTAAGTTCTGCTAAGGGTAACGTTCCTGATCAACCCCGACACCATATCCGACCGCACCCTTACATTTAAGGACAAACTACACACGATAAGAATTGAATGCTGATGCGCTTGAGACCTACAAACACCCGTCGGATGTAAGGACAATCGCACTCCCATACCATGGTTAGGACACTCCTTTTCTTGTTCTTTACTTTTGGACCAATTTTTCGTACAAAATATATTCTTAATAAAATAACTATGTCTAGTCTGTCTGTTATGTGTCTCATCAGTTCGTAGCGCTGTAAGAGTCGATCAGATCAAAAGCTACCAGAGCTGGAATCAACTAAGTTATAACAAACAACTTCCGGTAACCCTTGCAAGTGAGGTGATGCCATCATTTACGCGCCTCTGGTACCCAGTGGTTTCTCCTTCTGTAAGGCAGCCGGTTTTAAGGTACACCCGTAGGAGATATTATTGCTCGTTTGCAGGAGGTCGCGTTGATGGTCAAGAATTTTATTGCATTGCCACCAACATGGTCGCCTTGTCACGTGTTGAAAACCAAAAACTGGAACAAGAGCATGCCCTACATAGAGGATATTACATGGCCGGAGGAGATACGAAATTTCTCTTCAAGGGTTAAATAATATTCAGTTGTTCGCGAAATTTCGTATCTCCAGCGGCCGTCTAATGTTCTATTTATTAGAAAAATGCCAAAGAAATACCAAAGCACTACAATTTAATTTAGTTTTTGCTGTGAAAGGGGTTATTTATTATGTAACCACAGCAACGGTGAAGATGTCACGTTTTCGCCTACCGCGAAGGCTCAGCTGGTATTTTAGTGATGTTTATGTGATAAAATTTAAGATATTGTTTTATCGTTTTAAGAAAGGGCGTGACAGGAGTACCCGTGCTCTCAGAGCAAGGGCATGAATCAACCATAAACTCAACCTACAAATGGATTTGAGCCGGACACACTGGTGCGAGGCGACTGCTCTCACAACTAAGGCACCCTTGCTGCTCTTCTTGGAAACGTTGTAAAATACAAAGTACAGTTGAACCTCTCCACAACGGCCACCTTGGGGACAGAAGAAACTGGCCGTTGTAGAGAGGTTTAAACAAGAGTAAATACCGTAAAATTCCGAAAAATAAGCCCCGGCGCTTATATTTTTCAAAGGCCCTTTTTGAGGGGCTTAATATTTTTGGAGGGGCTTATATTCGGACGGGCTTATCTACGGAGGGAAATTTGCGTTTCAAAATCGATTGGCCAAATTGTAAAGGGAAGGAAATTTGCCATTTTTGCTTTGTTTTTCTTTGTACTCGAGGGCAAATTCCAAGTACAAGCCCCCCCCCCCCGGGGACTTATATTCGGAGGGGCGATTTAACAGAGGGTTTTTTGCGTTACGATTTTGGGGGACTTATTTTCGGAATTTTACGGTATATAGACTGTCCGCAAAAAAAACTGACCGTTGTAGAGAGGTGGCCGTTGTGGAAGGGTGACCGTTAGTGGAGGTTCGACTGTACACGTTTAGACCACTTGAGAAGTGACTTCATGAAATAAAGACGCCCTTCACGTTTTGCTTTCTGCATTCTCCTTTGCTTACTTTACGGCCCAAAGTCGCTATATTAGGTTTGGTCGGAGAGGCCAGAGTATTGAACAAAATACCGCGATACATGAAATATACCAGTTTAGTGCCTGTGTTTGCAGCTGATTGTTTGTATTGTTTTCGATCAAGGTTGTCTAAGACCCCATTAGCGTTTAGGCCAAGGACTTATTACTACTTTACACACAGGAACAGAATGTTTACAGGTAAGCAAAGTTTAAAAGAGATTGCCCGCATAAGTTCATACAAAGCAAAAAAGTTCAACTTGAAGCAACTTTTTTATGTGTTGGTTTTGTGTCCATGTTTTTTTTTTTTTTGCAAATTTGCAGCACAACCATCTAAACCGAGGGTCTTGACGGTTGCGATTGAAAAACCAGAAATCAGAAATTATGATGATGATGATGATGATGATGATGTTGATGTTGATGATGGCAAAGACGACGAAGATGACACCCAGCATGATGACGATAATGATGACGGATTTGTCCATGAAGACATTGATGATGATGATGATTCTGATCAAAAAGTAAATGCACCTGTCCCTTTTCTGGGGACAGAAGAAAGTGGCCGTTTGTAGAGAGATGGCCGTTGTTGAGAGGTTTAAGCAAGAGTCAATGTATGGGCTGTCCACCAAAAAAACTCTCCGTTGTGAGATGGTCGTTAGTGGAGGTTCGACTGTATCATGAATGCGAGCATCACCCTTGTTCCTGGGGATTTTCTCGCCAATCCCAATATTTACGTAAAGAGGTTGCAAGAGAAAAGGTTGCAAGAGTTAATGAAATGATCACCTTAGGGAAAATGCTTCCATCTTTATCAGCTAATTCTTTACAACTTTAAGCAAATGTAAGAAGATCATTCTAGAGAATTTGTATGTGGTTATTGGGGCTTACAGGGTTAATAAAATCTACGAAAAAAAAGTCTGTATAGCAGAGGCCTGAGAAATGGCGACGAAGGCCGCAAGGAGAAAAAGTCTCCCACGCATGTCCTCTTCCCTCTCGCGTGTCGCTCTCGTGTCCTTATTGTGCATCCACTGTGCATTAATAATTATACGCGATCAAACGAGTTAACAAATTAATGTTAGGCAAAGTACTTCAAAGGTAAGGTCGTAATTTTGTTTACGTTTGAAACATTTTAAAGGGACACAGTCAGCTGATGCACATGCGCATTAGATACTATTTCTTAGTTGATTTACATGTCACAAGACACGCGCGTGAAACAGAAAGTGAGAAGCGTATCCGGAATACTCAAAACATACCGGTGATTATAGGCCCTAAGCCACATGAGAGCACACATTTTTTAATATACCATTAAGAATTCACCGATGGATTTGTCCAGGAAAAGCCGAACATCGACGAATACTTCTGAATTCAATCATCAGCAGAGGTGAGAAAGGACACGGAGTCTGCATGAATAATTGTCGAAGGTTCAAGATCGAGAAAGCTTGATTTTTCCTAACACATGTAACCTTTTCCATCAATTTTCCAAATACATATAACGATTATTTGCTCGCCAATGTTATTGATTCATTTCTTTTGTTATTTTGGTAAACGAAAGCGATTTCTCCCGCCCGGCTCCTACGCGTTTCTCACCTCTTCTTTTCACGCTCCTTTGGATACTGTTTTTAACCAAATATGATAAAATAATGTCCGGGATGGGTTAAGTTTGTTCAAAAAAGAGGTTTTGCGTAAAGGATCGAGGATCGACAGAAACACTAGGCAAGATTGAAGCGGATTTCTAGATGTAGCCGACGCGTACATTTGATTTCGGGTTGAGGTAAACTCTTTTCCAACCGGCAAAAGTAGTGTCCAGGTCAGCGCGGTCACATAGCTGACTTACTAAACATTTTAAAAGTATACAAAAAAAAAGTTCTCAGTGAAACTGCAAACTTTCCGTCGCCATTTGCCAACACCTTTCCTCGGGCGAGAAGCATTTTTTAACGACAAGATGCTCTTTTAATATTTTGAGAAATGTGAAAGGAGAATACACATTCAAAAAGTATTTTAGACATAATTGGCGGTGTTGTTACGTCACTGTAAATAAAATCCCACTACCAGCTACATGTAAGAAAGCCTATGATGAGGCAAGAGCAAAAAACACAAAAACAAAACATGGCAATCGGTTTTGTTGTGCCTTCTTTCCTTGTCGTTCGTTAAATTTTCGCATGTTTGTAAGACTGTCATTAGTTGTGCGTGTCCGCACGATATGAAAATGCTTGGGTAGGTAGCTTTTTTAAGCTGATTAATCATTGGTCATAAGTATGCAAGTTGCAAAAACTGAAGTAATAAATCTGCGATATCGGACATAGTCGAGTAAGGAAAACCAAGCCCGGAAAAGCACCCTTATACTCTGTCTACTCTAGGGGTGTTCTACAAAACAACATACAAAACGAACACCATACTTTTTATGTATCTTAAGCATTTTTGGTCATTTCTGATAATGTTTCGTTTCGTTAAAAATAATACAGACAAGTAGGTTTGTTCTCAGCTTACCATATTTCAAAACATGTCATTGAAATAATAGTGTTCGATAGAAGCTGTCAAAGTTACTCGCGGTGAGATCATGATATTTTAAAACTTTATTGGCATGCTCAAGTCTATTGTTTCTTTTGTTCATCCCTTTGAATATTCTCGCACTTTTTTTAAATTTCCTCTACAGAGACAAAACCACGTGTGGATGGTTACGTAATTTACGCCAGTTTCATAATATTGTTTGTTTTAAGAACCTTAAGTGAATCTCTTAGCGAAGAAGTAAATATGATTTTTGCCAAGATTTATCTTTTGCATCATCAAAAGCGTGCGCAAAAAAAGAACTGACGGACAGTTGAGATGGCCGTAGTTTACTGGTGTCTACACTGCCTTAATTTAAATTCTGTTTATCAAACACGTGAGTACGGTCATGCACGCGTGATTATATAAGAACGATTACATAAGTACAACTAAAGCACAGCCGGTAATCAAAACCGAAACACAATGATTTTCACTCATTCTGCGCCGAATGAATGTCAAGTTACTTCCTTCTTTTGAGCAAGAAGTGCTTGAAACACCATTTGTCGTTTTCGGCCACAGTACTGTATTTATCAGTTACAAAACAGCTGTAACGGTGGAAGAAGAGTTGAAATGAATATTTTTCTACCTGTTCGGTTGAATTTTAATTTTATTACGGCCGAGTATTTATAACTTATCGCTAATGACGGAGCCGTTGGAAGCTTACAGCGAGCTCAGTTCAGGATCAGGGGAGCAGCGTCCCAAAGAAGAGCCACAGTTTTCGCTCACGGAGGAGAACCTAAACGAAGGCGCAGAGAAAATCAGTCATGGTAGGCAGTCAAGGGAAAGCCAGCAGCCACAGTGTGACTCTGAAATACACGAAATTTTTCAAGGACATTCTTTTGATATGGCTAGTGACAGTTGTATAGAAATGGTAAAACCAACAATTGCTTGCTCGATAGTGGATTTTCAAAGGCGAGCTCTTCTGAAAGAGAAAGCAAATAAAATGACGAGATGCAAGGAAACAGCATTATTGCACTGTCCGCTTTGTAGCTGTTTTTACGTTGCACCTATCACGTTAACCTGTGGACACACGTTATGTAAGGACTGCATTTTGTCGGACAATGTTGATCAGATTCTGGCTAACATCGACTGTAAACAATGTGGATCTAAAAGCAATATACAGCAGCGTTCCGTAAACGTACTTGTTACTTATCTAATTCAAAAATGGTTTCCGCACGAATATGAAAGTGACGTGAAGAAACTGGAAGATATCCAGCGGGGCAGACTACAAGATGGAGAACAAAGAAAAGTAGTTGAAACTCTGTCGGGTGTTCTAAAAAATTCACCTTTGAATTTTAAGGCATTAAAGTGGCGAAGTCAAGCGCTATATCAGATGGGAATGTTCGGCCAGGCACTGAAAGACGCTGAATTGGCTTGCATGCTAAGGCCTTTTCTTCCTCAGGCCTTCTATCAGAGAGGGCTGATTTCGGTCGCTATGGACAACCACGAGGAAGCTGCATTAAATTTCGGGCGCTGTGTTGGTCTTGACTCGACCACTTCGGAATATTATGTACAACTTTTGTCGAGTCTGACTGAGGTTTTACGATCGGAAAGGTGTGTTCTTGGTAAAGAGGGAATCGCGGAACACTATGCGACTGAATTGACAAGCGAACGTTCCAAGAACACGGAAAATAAAGTATGTAACGAATCGGAAAGTGACAATATTGAAAAGAATTCACGTGTTTTAAAAAGCACGAAATCAATCATCAGCAGCAATCCTTCTTCTGTTCGGTCTGATTCTTACCAGGGAAAACTGACTGATCTAAAACGTCCATCAGAAAAATGTACTCTATCGTCCACACCAGAAAATACCTTCCCATCAAAACGCGTAAAACTTTCCAATCTAAACGCGGGCGAAACATTTATTACGAGAAAGGAGGGAGACTTAAAGCAAGAATCCATTACGACAAAGTGTGAAGACTCGATGCAAGAGTCCATTAGGCGAGAAAAGGACGATTTGACGTGCGAGATATGCTACAGTGTTCTCTTTCAACCAGTCACCACAACTTGTGGCCACACGTTTTGCCGAGATTGCTTGCAAAGAAGCTTGGACTTCAAGCCTGACTGCCCTTATTGCCGTCAGCCTCTCGACTGTGTAGTTGCCAGGAACTATCAAGTTACCAACGTCATAAAAGAGATCACCGAGAAACTATTCCCTGACGAATACGCGGCGAGGGAAAGTTGGTTCGCCAAAGAGAAAGCGAGTTGGAAAGGGTAAGTTCCGAAAGTGATTGCATAATATTTGAGCGGGCTTTCCTTAAAAAAGTAGTTAAAGCAAAAATAGAGTTTAATGGACGATGGCTTACTGTTTATTAGTCTCTCAGGAATCTTTTGGCAGGGTTTTCGATATATTGCAACGAGTTTTCACATCATTACTGAAGCGAAAAACAACTTAAAAGCTAATTCATCATTTAAAGTCGACGCCGAAGTCCGTCTTCTGTGCAATGATTAAGCGAAGAAAGACAAACTGAGCAGATGGACTTGTTCTATTGTAACTAATGGAAATAGCTAATGATTACTGGACAATGTGGCCCAAAACATTACCGAGCTAGCTCAATTACCCGGTCGTATCGATTCATTTCATCAGTATTAGAGCAAAGTGACAGACAAAAACAACTTCTATAACCTCCGTTAATTTATCTCAATACATGATTATTGTCGCGAACATTGCCGGTAAAAAAATGAAACAGTCGTCTCGCATAAGTTTCCGGCTCGCGAGAAAAACGTGCAGGTGACCGTAAAAACATGTGTACAGGAACGTGACTAAGAATATGCTACGATCCTTCATTTGTAAGAATATAATTCGACGAAAAAGCCACTCACGTTGACTGGCACACGTAAACAAACCTTTGCGGTTAACGCACTTCGAGGTTCGGCTCTGTGGTCAGCAAGTGTTTCTTAATGTCCTTTGAAGTCCCATACCTGTGGCGGTACTGCCAAAAAAACTATATGGGCATTTTCTGTCTTTTGAGGACACGGGATTACATTAAGTGTTTAGTCTTGCAGGTTGTAGGTGCTTTGGAAAAACAATCTATTGATCAAGGGTCTGTACTTAGCGTTAAGGTAGATTGCCACCGTCGCGCAATTTTTACGTGCGAACGCATTTAAAGTTAACGCGCGTAAATAAATAGAGTAATGTATGGAAGGTAGCGTGTAAACGTAATGGTTGAACCTCGCCCCTTTTACGTTTACGTGCGGCCTTTCATACATCGCCTCTTTTCTAACACGCATAAATAACGCGACAGTTGAATTGAAACTTTACACCCTTTGATTCCCCAAAGTAAAAAAAGATGGTAAAATCTGGATAACAAACACTTCAAGGAAAACCGATGACGCAGATTCGTATAAAAAGGCAGTTTTTCTTTCACTTCTGTAAATGCATATTTTTCTAATTCTTAAACGATTGGCTCGGTTTTTACTTTACATCGGTGAATTTTAAAATTACGATTTGATGCATGACCTTATCAAAAGGATCACAAAGCCAAAGTAATACTCTTGTTAAAGGCGGCAGTACGTCAAAACCATAATCTTTTCCCTGGTACATGAAAGTACCCCGGGGGATTTCACTGCGAAACTGCCCGGTGGTACGTGTATAAACATTTTAGTAAAGCGCCCTTTAATACAGGAATTGAAAATCCTGTATTGGGTAAGATCGGTAAGGATTAGTCGTGTAGCCTAGGGCAACAAGGCTGACAAAGAGTAGCTGCCGGTGACAAAAGTCCCGAGGATACAGCACAATAACTGTGGACAAATTCTTAAAAGAGAAGTTTTGAGTCACAGTTTTGAAACGTATATACTTATCTAGAAATTTGTCGTGCGTAATCCATGTCGAAAAGTCTCCCTAGAGATTAATATTCCTCGTTTGTTTGTTTGTATTTTTTTAAAAGAAATATTTTAAGGATTTCCATCAAACTAGAAAAATCGATCTAACTTTCTCAAGATGCAGAAACCGAGTCGTGCCCCTTGAAACTACCATCTGTAATGCAAATTTAGACTCTTCAGCATTGTAATCATTCCTGATTGCTTTTAATTTAAACGACGCCGGCTTTAATTTTGATTGCACGTGTTCCTCAAAATATCACTGAGCGAGACGAACGTATCAATACAACCCATTAACCTGGTGGCCGATGATATAGGATCTTAATGTTAGTAAACTCAAGGCAAATTTTATGCGCCTTTGACTTTCATTTCGGCTGGCGTTTTTGTTACATTTAGGCATGAACTCAAAACTAAACTTCACATAGCCTGACACGTAAAAATAATTCTATTATGCAACTTACTTTTTCGAAACACGTCAGCGTGAAAAACCCTCGAACAGAACGTTACGCGACTGTCGCACCATTTTTTACATGCATTTTCTTAAAATGTAATCTGAATTAGGATGTATTCCATTTCGAGTTTCTAGTGTGTAGGAAAATGAGGGGTGTTCACTATCGTACCGTACTAATAGTCCTTTCAACAAAAACAATTTAATATATCTCGATAATTTGTGGAAAAGTTTTGAGAGCGATTTCGTCACATGTCAATGGATGCTAAGCAACAGCGACCATACGTCGTGTTTTCTAACAAATAGCTACGTTGAAAAATTACATAACAAAATGCTATAATCTTAAGCTTATCGCTAATGCAGTGTGTCATTTCCATGATGGGCAGTTTGTGCGAAACCAGTAACTTACAAGTCCATCGCTGGAGGGGAATGAGTATCAATTAAAACGCAATTAGAAATTAGACACTAGAGAGGTGTCCACGAACACAAATTACACCAGAAATTCAGCTAAAACTCTTAAAATTAGCGCAATGAAGCCGTTGCAGGGGAAAGTCAGCGTGCCAACGAGCACGCCGCGGCCGGCTCTCGCTAACACAATCTTAGATGCCATTTTGGCTCTTTTCATGATCCCAAAAGTTACACTGGCCATCAATCACAATCGTTTACACATTCTCTGTTCTTAAATTAAAGTTTGAAGTTAGCCTACGTAGAATGTTTCGAACTGTTTTGTGTTGTTTTGAATGATGCTGATAAAACGTTAAATCTTGTTTCAGGTGCGGGGTCGATGATAGCGTTGATGTTCCCATCTTTGTTTGCATGCTGGCATTCCCTTCTCTGAAGTACCCTCTACACATTTACGAGCCTCGTTACCGCCTGATGATAAGACGATGTGTTGAGCTAGGATCCCGTATGTTTGGCATGTGCATGAGCGACCCGGACTGTGGATTCTCGGAATATGGTACCATGCTTTACATCGAGAACATGGAGGCGCTTCCTGACGGACGCTGTATAATTCAGACTACGGCCAGGAGAAGATTCCGCGTCATTTCACGTGTTTATAGAGACGGGTATAACACTGCGAAGGTTGAATGGCTCGACGATGAAATACCAACCTCATGCGCTGAAGAAAGGGAACTCGAAGCACTAAACAACGATTGCGGAAAATTGCTGGAACTTTGGTTTAACAGTTTAACTCAAATGCAGCAGAATTGTATAACAAATGCAATTGGACCTATGCCTCGCATTAACTCGGAGAGCCCAGTGTCTAGTTCTAATGGTTCTTCTTGGGAATGGTGGGCGTTAGCTGCTATCCCTCTTCAGGATAAAGCAAAGTTGATCATATTATCGATGAAGTCATTGGAAGAGCGGCTTCGAAGTATTCGCCGCTTTTTAGAGCTTTTAATAACTATGAGTTCGGGAAATGATTTAGGAGAAAAGTAGCGTCGCTGTCGAGCTAGTCACCACACAAGTTGTGCACTTCGTCATTACCACGATTCTTGCTGGTAAACCAAACGATCCAGAAAATGCTTGCACACAAATTTCGGCTTAGTCTTCTTGATGCTACTGTATTTTTTGAGTGAAAGAATAAGCTTTTTTGTTACCATTTCAGCGAGATTTTTTTAAAAGTAACGCTTTAGACCGTGACTAGGAGAATAAACTCAAAGTCGGCCTATCACCTGTTTTTTGTCCTGTTTTTCCTTTAAGATGAAGAAGACATCGTATAATGATACAATATATGTCTCTGCATCTTTTACGTACTGTTACCACTGTCACCTGTAGCCAGTTTCATCACTGGTTTGTTTGGTTTTTTGCCAAAAAAAAAGTAAGATCAGTAAGACAACGATGGAATTTCTGGCACTTACCTGGAGGAGGAGGCCACTTAAGGAAGTTTGCGTAGAAGTGTGTCGCCGAGGGCACAAAACCCCAACCCAGTTTAAGTCAAAATTCGTTCATTTCGTTACCCTATTTAACACAAGAGACCTCTTTCGCGCATTCCATTTCGCGTGCGGAACTAAGTATTTCTTTTAATTCTGACATCACAAAATTGAAAGTTAGCACCACAAGCATGCAGACCGCGCACCGCCAACCTACTATCTATTGGAATCTCCCGACAGGCATTTAGTGTTTTTTCTTGAGAAAATTTGAATTTTGTAGCACATGGGCATAAGCAGACAGCGAAGTGATGATGATAATGAGAATAATAGTAACAATAACAATAATAGTAATAGTAAATTATTTCTTATAGACCATTAGCGCTTTACAATAAATAAATAGGGTTTGGAAATACAAGAATTCAATGTTGATAAAATTTTTAAAACATTAAATTTTAAAATATATTAAAATCGTAAACATGAAGTAAAGATGTGCTTTTTGCTTTCTCTTTAAACATGCTAAGATTAAATTTGTATCGTATTCCAGAGTTTGGTGGCATATAAAAAAATTTGGAGATGTATTCGTAAGGACGAACTCAGAGATCCTCTTAAAAGTAGGATGAACCAGATAAACTAGTTAACCCTTTAAAGCCTAAGGAGTGGTCAGTATGAAATTTCCCCTTATATCAACGTTTTATAAAACCGCGTGGTCATAACAATTGAGGTTATGGTCAGGGAAGATTAATCTTATACTTTTTAGTTATAGATACCTACTAAGATAAATTCCCCCCACTACTTCTGCTGAAAACAAATAAGGACAACAAATGAGAATTTGAATTTTGATATTAGGGTTAAGAGGGTTAACAAGAGGAGAATAAGCCGATGAACAGACGGAGTGTCAAGGTGTTGACAGTGATTCACAAAGAGCCTTGACATAGGAGTATTTAGAGAGTAAACAAGTTCGTTCCATTGATTTTTTTATTGTTTTACCAGGGGAGTTTTTTGGAAATGGTCAACGAAAATTAATTGTCGTTCTTTTTTGTCAAAATAATACTTAACTGCAAAGCTCATTCACAGGAAACTGGAGTTTCAGGACATTCTTTGAATTTAAGGCACAGGGTCCACAGGAGCCCAGTTTGAACACATGAATTACTTTTTTTTAATGTCTTACCTTGTACGTATATATACCCTCATCGCTTCGCACAATTGAATAAGCCTAATTCCGGATCTTTATGGCCATTCGGAACAGATTTCCGACTCCGGCATTTTGAAAATAAAGAACTGCTTGGCCATTTCTTCGCAACTTCGTGGGTGCATAACTTTCCTGACTATGTATTCTTTAAGAGCCCTCTGTCCTGAGGTCTGCGGCATATATGATGCGTGACGAAACTGTAACGCGTGGATAACGTGATCGAAATAAATCATTGGTTTTCAACAACAGGTTTTTCAAATTCTCTGATCTGGCCCTGTGCATTTGGGGGCCTGTTCGGCTCGCGTGAACAGCGAGCTCAAATCACACTTTGCGGCCAGAGCGGTATAACTATAACTACGTGTAAATTTTGAAAATAAAGCGATTTCTTTACCGTATGCTAAGTAATCTTTAGGTCATTTTCCCCTTTGTTTAGGCAATATAACTTAAGTTTTAATCCTGCCTGAGAAAGCGATCTTGTCCGAGCAGCGAAATATAATATCTCAGCAGCATATTAAAGATTTTAAGAACCTTGCGCAAATCAATTTCACATGCAATTGTTTTAGGCACTGGTGAGAGATGGGATGGATCTGAGTTACCTACGTATTATATTCTTTTCATTGTTTACTTTTAAAATTCTCTTTTCCTTTCCTTGACTTAAAAAATTCACTTTTCTATTTGTTTACTTTTAAAGTTTAACAACGTTCTGGATTTAAAGCTTTCAGTAAATGAACGAAAATAGGTCCTTACTTCTTTTTCACACTTTGGGTTTATCATAAAAAGTCCAGTAGATGTCCAATAGTTTGTACTTTTAAGCTATATAATGCCTAGACCGTTTGCCAGTAATTTTCTTGTTGTCCAATGAGGAGAAAGGAGAGTCCATGAACAAAATTAGCTCCTTACTGGATTTCCACAAATTCGTTTTAGTTATTAAACATCTAGTAGATGTCCAATAGGTTGTATCTTCAGGATATATAATGCCTGGACCGTTTGCCAGTAACTTTCTTGTAGTCTAATGAGGAGAAAGGAGAGTCGACCAAGGCATCACGGCCAATGCCATGATCACTAGCAAGCGTATCATTTTCATCAATATCCCGCTCTAAGCTTGACACCGGAATGTCTTCAATCTCTCCGGGAACTGCTTGCTTTAGAAGCGCTTCCTGCATTTCCTTTTTCCCAAGAAGATCTCTTGTGTCCCCTTGTTTTGCGTCCTCATTGTTCTCTACGCTGCCATCGTATGCACTGGAATTGATGGTGAAGTCGTCTTTAAGGGCGTCGCGGATGAAGTCTTCAACTAGCGAGACATTCCTTCGAAATCGATCGATATTGAACGGAATCTCGCTTCGTTTGTCTATAGTGATCTTATCTAAGTCACTGTCGCTGTCTTCGTTTGAGTCTTGTTCGCTGTCCCCTTGATCGCCTTTCTTTTTCGACAAATATCCTTTCACTTCGTCAATGAGAGAAAAAAGCCTTCTTTCCAAGTTAGAGATCTCTTCGAGTTTCTCATGCACTTTTCCTTTCGTTTCATCGCTACCTGCAGCAACAGTGTCATGCACTTGCTGAGTGGCATCGCTGCCCAAATGGCTTGCGATTTCCTTCTGAACGACTTCATCGATCAGTTCCTTAGCAGTAACAGCATGATACTGACTACCACCAGCAGCAGGATGTGCAGCAGCAGCAGCTGCCCGTTGTTTCTTCTTGTGAAGTTTCTTCAGCGCATTGTCCACCGCCTCACGAATTCCCCCTTGGTCGGAATAACTGTTCTCTACCTTATCTTTGAGATCATCAGCAGTCAGCAGTGTATGTTCCTTGAATGCGTCCATTACAGGAAATGCAGCTCTTTGATCTGTGTCCTCTTGTTTTTCTTCATCCTTCAACAGGTTAGTTTCAACATTTGAGCCCAACAGGTCGTCCCCAAGCCCTAGATGAAGTCCCATTATATCATCTAAAAACGGAAAAGATATTTAAGATTTAATAGTTGAAACCAAGGCACAGAAACATCGGTAGTTAGAAAAGTAATGCCATGGAACTACTCTTGTGGATTAATTCCCATGTCTTGGTATAGCTCTTTGTCCGAAATAATTGAATCACATAGCAAACACTACTAAAAACGTTTAACCCCTGAGGAGTCAGGACCTTAAGATACGACTACGAGTACGAGTCCCGGAAGGTACTTTGTGAAAATTCAGCTGAGGTGTAAGCATATTTTCTGAAACTCTTGCCTTAGTCCGGACCGAAATATGAGATTTTCCCTACCCTATTTCAGACCCAAACAGTGAAACGCTTAAAACCAAGAAAAAGTTATCAAATAGCACTACGGTTAATTGACTTTATTCCCCTTCAGTGCAGTTTTCTAAATAGCCTCGACCGGAGCAATGATTGCTCCGGTCAAGGCTATTAAGACAAATACAGTACATTCGTGAAAATTTGTTAAGCCGGGTGGCCTGTGCAAAACACATGGATATTCGCAGCATATCGTTACTCACTATGGTAAGTAATTTTGACAAACCTCGTTTAGACGTTTTCGAAGCCGTCTTTGGATCGGACAATACTACAACAGCCATGCAGAAAACATTTGCAGCAATCCATGCACACTTCCAATACATAGTGGATTCTTCAAATCAAAAGAGAGTAGTCAAAAGCGATGAAATTGACTTGGTGACGCTCACTTAGTGATGTAGATTTAGCATGTTGGAGTAAACATAGCAATTCAAAGACGGTTATTGTAATTTTCCACATATTAATATTCTTCACAAATAATGTCTTTTGATACAGTCGAAAGCTCAAGGTTGCCAGTGTTTCGTAACAGCATGCAAGTACAGATATTGCTTTGACACGCTGTTCGTAACGAATAAAGGAATTTTCTTTATTTCTAATCCGTTTCCAATTAGTGTTACATCCTTCCTCTGCGAGTAGTCAAAGCAAGATCAAGAGAGCACGAAATACGTTCTTATTTTCAATCACATCTAAACAATCATAAATGCATGGACTATACCTTAGTATTGCTGTAGAAGTCTTTCCTTTACTGTAACCAAATCATCTGTCTTCTTGAATTCTCCTTCTAATTCCCGTTTTCCCTCTTAACTATAGGCGGATTACAGATATCTTCTAGCAGAAAGAGCTTATAAATTAGAAATAACTTTTCTGGTATTTTGCTCTCGTATGGCAGGTACCTGTCGAGTGGGACTTACAGACGAAAAAATCTGCGATAAGGGCTTAATTAAAAGAGCTTAGCATAATGAAGCGAACTGGTTTTCGTGAAAACGAAGTTATCGGTGCACCGATGCGGGGTGGTAGTGCATCTTAACTGAAAACGATGAACTATGATGTAAAATGATTTAGCTTCGAGTGCTCACATAAATGATCTATTAACGCATTCAAAACAACCAAAACGACCGGAGCACGAGGGAAGATGCGAATGCATCGATGTGACTACATGAGTAAAGATAATTACCATTTCTCAACACTGCCACTCATAAGTACTTGAATCGATGTTGCCAAGGGGAATTTGAACCCTGAAATAAGGTTGCTTTAAGTTTTTTGTTACTGTTAGCAACCAGATTATGTGTAACCATTTATTGTATTCAGCTACAGACATCACATGTACTGCCGTTCCACTCCCAAAATTAACCTCTGGATAGCCTCACTAGGAATCTTCAGCACGACAGAGACTGAGAGGAAGGAGTTCAATGAGGGATCTTTTAAAACATGCAATGGATCAAGTGAATACCCTCATCATTCTTATGAAATAATAAAGCTATGGAAAATATCTACATGAATTACACTGAATTACATTTCTCTTTTTCTTTTGCACTACGTTTTAGATAAAAATGATAACACCTTGTTAATATTACATTTTTTCTTTTACCACTATCCAAGGTCAAAAAACTTTCAGTCGCCTGGGCACGGTGTTACGTCATGAATGTACTGAAGTTACGAACTAACGCTCTAGAACCTGCAGGAAGTTATTCCTTGTGATTATGTTCTAGGCATGACAATTGCAGCTTTCAAGATATTCCTCTCCAAGCGGACACTAGATGGTAGTGTACCAACGACTTAACAAATAATAGGAAATCAGAGGTTAACCATCAAAGAAAAACTGAAGTACGTCTAACACGTTTTTCCAATAAAGGAAAACGAGACCAGGCTTTACCTTACTTATTGAAAACCCCTCGAAACCAATATAACAGACTTTAACCTGAAGTACATTGGGATAGACAACAGACAATTCGCATCCATGGGTAAGCGCTAACCTCTACGTTTCTGTTCCTCTAGCAGGATACGTGTTGCAAAAATAAGTCTACGCTCAGAACGTCCAGGAGTGAGCTACAATTGTAGGACATCCTCAATCGATATGATTGCCAGCTAGTCCCACACTCTATCGCATACCAGCAATCGAACATGACAGTCGTACTTTAGTCCACCTACTCACACAAAAACGCAAGAGAGTTGAGGGAGGTGAAAAACTTTTTGGTGTAGAGCACGTACAGACCTGACCCGACTGGCGATCAATCGATACACATTCCAAAGTGATTTCATGATTTTTGATTTCGGTCACGCTTGGATAGTTTGTTCCTGTTAGTGCCTTCGAAATTGTGCTACATGGATGGCGATTTATAATGTTCTTGAAGTTTATCGCAAGAAAATGAGATAGTTAAATGTATAAAGCTACAGACCTACATAATGCAAAGTTACATGGAGAGATGTATCCCATAAGGAGTTGATCGTTTTTTAGAAGAATGTTACGCCAGATAACACACTAGACAAATGAAAAACGGCTATTAAGGTACGAAGAATTAATATGTTATACGACCTTAATTATTAGGCAGTTTGTCTTGGTTTTAAGTGCTAAATAGTTTTTAGTTTGTCCGTATTTAAACAGACCTTTAGCCTTAAGGTAACACTACACTAACGTTTCATTTGAATCTAGCAAATGTTTGTTTGTTTAACTTTAAAATGAGCGATTTTCCGTCCCTTCACAACGGCGAATAAACTTCTGCATTTTGAATCTTTTTACCTGACTGGTCTCTCCTTCGAGAGAAAAAATATTTTTTTACCTTTAACACATAACGATTAAAATTCTTGTACAACTTCAAGGTGGTTAGATTCAGACTTAGTCATAACACAATTCAGTTAGCTTTCAAATAACCTATTAATTTACGCTAAAGTTGGATGGCAATCTATTTCGGGTGGCAATGTAGCAGTAATTGACCTATAAAATATATGAACTGAAAAATGACTGGACAAGTAAATATATGATTCCATTCTCTTAGAACTACTCATATATCCCACGCTACAGGTAATGGTGTTTCACTTCGTTAGTTTCTTTGACCCATGCACTGTTTGGGTGAATGAATATTCAATGAAAAAGGCCGATTTAAGCGTCTACAAACTTTAGGACCAAAAAAACATATTTATGTGTGCTATAAAACGCTTTGCCCGAATAATCCACGGGTCTTAGGGAGGAGGTTGTAAATACAATTCTCGGTCCAATGAACTAGATGTGTAAGGGAAAATACACTGCTGCAAAGAAATGAAAAGACTCTTTCGGAAAATAGCGGACCTAGGGCGTTTTGTTTGTTTGTCTTTTAATTTTCTTATCTCTAATACAGTGTTAGTCTGCCTTAAGACATGTTACATGACAGTCGTTTTAAACGCTGCAACAATGTGCAACTAAATGTTGTTCTTCCGGCTGTGCGAACTGAATTTAGGAAAAAATCAATTATGTACCAGGGAGCAAGGACCTACAATGAGCTCCCGGACTCAGCAAGCATTGCAAATCTTTGGTTCAATTCAAAGAGATGCTGAGGACTGTTATCATGTGATTTTGTTGTATAGTTCATTTCTAAAATATCTGCCTTTTCATAGTTGGTATTATTCTCATGCATTTAATTTTATAGTTTATCTGGATCCCCGTTAATATCAGCCCTGCTGAAGGGGCACATCCTGTATAAACATAAGTTAATAATAATAATACAGTAGAACCCCGGTAACTCGGACTCTGAAGGGAAACGAAAAACGGTTCGAAGTAGCGGGGAGTAATTTCAGTGTTTTTTTTTCTTTTATCAAGGGAAAGAAAATTTAGTTCGAGTTAGCGGGGAATTCGAGCTATCCGAGTTCGAGTTATCGAGGTTCTACTGTAATAATGATGATGATGATGATGATGATGATGATGATGATGATGATGATGATGATGATGATGATGATGATGATGACGAAACCAGTTCCGAGTTGCCTCCTAACTGTACGTCTGTCTTTTTTTGTGTTTTTACTATTAATTTTACTTTCCTTGTGTCATCTCATCATTCTTAATTCTTTTTCTAATATACAGAGAAATGAGGATCGTCATTTTAATCGCCATCATTTTGCTTATCATACAATCTGATACTGTGGCCAGCAAACGCAACCATGAGCAAAAACGCAACGAAAAAAACTCGAAAACAGTTGAAAATCAGGAGCAACGAGATATGTCGTTGTTATACGGTGCTATGAAAGATTTTGAGAAATCTAGCCATACAAAGGACGTTCCTTTTAAACGTGGCGAAACTGATACCCCAACTACAAAGACTATGTCAAGAAAAAGTAACAAATTTGTGATACACCGAATGCGGGCTAGGAATATGTACAAAGAAGGTCGGAAAAAAGTGTCTGATCATGGAAAGACTAAAGAAGATGCTAAAACCCATAGCAGAGTAATGCCCAATCACCATTCAGAGATGAGAGCGCCTTCTATTGTTGGACATGGTCTGAATTTAACAGCTTCCCCAAACGGTAAAGACCTTTCAGTGAGAAGTCACAGAGACAAAATATCCTCAGCTTTCAAAAGGTATAAGGTTCCAAGAAAACACCACAGACATACAAGGAAAAGGACAAAGGTGGAAGAAGCTATGACCAAAGAAAGACAAAATATTGCCAAGACAATCGAGTCTTTGGATGACTTTCCAGGGTCTTTTTCCAAGGGACTTGACTTGGATGGGATGGACGTGACTGAAGTTACTATGATTGACAACAACACTCTCTCAGACTACTTTCATGCTTTAAACGACAATTCAAGTCAAAACACCGCCAATAACAATGGCAATGAAGACTCAATATACACACCTACGTCACCCTCGACGCCGACTTCCAAGTATTCATGGGATGACAATTCGCCTTCATACACGGAGGACAGCAGCAGTGACAGCAACAGGGGTAACGATGATTTCTACGATGCTATTGAAAATGGTGACAATCCACCTACGATTAAAACGAAGAAGGCTCGACCTACAAAATCGCATTCTCAAAAGTACATTAGTAGATCAAGCACAGCTGCCATATCTCCTTCACAGACTTCAAGCGCAAGCACACAGTTTCGACAGCCTCCTATTTCTCGGGAACCTTCTCAAGAGGATTTTGACAACTTTTTTCGAGGAATGCTTGATCACTTTGGCCACCTAAGAAGGCCCAATGAAACGGTGAAGCAGGCAAACACAGTTGAAGTAAATTCTCAAGACACGCATGACAACCAAAAAAATGTAACAGCTATCGTAGACGGACATGATGGACTTAGTAAAGCAAACGTAAAAAAACTGGTTTCGCTTGGAAGCCCAGAAAAAGAAAAGTGGAGTCCACTGCAGTTTTGAATACTCCGTTTTCCGAAACTAAAGACGTTGGGACGGATAAACAAGGAGCAGGGGTGGCATCGTTTCGTCCAACATCGAATTACGGAGTGGAAAGACCTTCCGGCGAAAGTATGAATTCATCAAGTAAACTTTCATCATCACAGCAGAGTCCCCCAAGTCCCCCAGCAAATTTCGAAAGTCTACTTACAAACTCACACAAACCAACCCAGCAGCAGACAGCAAAAGTTACTCCTACCGTTGGGAGACCGCAAGACGCTCTTTCATTACCATCACCTTCTGTAGGAACACGTATCATGGGAGGAAAGATATCCGGTGGTCAAATATCCGGTGGTTTAATAGAAGGGGGACATATCAAAGCCGGATTAATAGAAGGTGGTATCATCAAAGGGGGACAGGTTGTTGGTGGCCAAATAACCAACGGAACCATGGAAGGTGGAGTGGTTGTGAATGGGAAAATGTTGGGTGGACACTTGGTTGATGGGCGACTTGAAGGAGGGCAGTTACTCGGTGGAAATGTTTTCGGTGGGAAAATAATGGGAGGGAGCGTAGAAGGGGGAGACATGAAAGGCGGAGTGGTGGCAGGTGGAAGATTTCGAGGGGGAAGCATGCAAGGTGGACTGCTTAATGGAGGTGAAATTCAAGGAGGGACAGTGAAAGGCGGCAAAGTCGAAGGTGGCATTGTGCACGCAGGTAACATAGAGGGGGGTGAATTAAAATTTGGAGATATATCAGGTGGCACTCTCAAATCGGGTGCGATGCTTGGCGGGGTGCTAAAGAACGGCAGCATAGACGGAGGAACGCTTAAGGGCGGAGTAATTGAAGGGGGGATTTTAAAAGGCGGGGTTATGGAAGGTGGACATCTAAAGGGAGGGCTTGTTCTAGCAGGTAAAATTAAGGGTGGGACTATTGAAGGAGGGGTGATAGAGGGGGGTGAAATTGGAGATGGGGTTTTAATTACGGGGGGTAAGATAAATGCTACGATCATAGGGACAGGAAGTTCTATGGAAATGAACCGGAAGCTTGGTGAGTTGTTTAAACAAGGGGAGAATTCGCAGAAGTTAGAGCTCAAAGTTCACCAGCAAAGATATCACCATGGGATTCACAAGGTTCAGACCGCAGCAGAATTCATGTCAGACTCGCTCCCAAGTCCAAAAGTGCCTACTCCAACAACACATCAGTACAACACTGGCTTGAAAGGAATAAGTTCAAATTTGAACGTTAAGATTCCTTTGCGGGAAGGAGTTCTTAAAATGCTTCCGAAACAACACGAATCTTCGGATGACGACGATTTAGAAAAGTTATTGAATGAGAGGAAAGCTAAAAATGAAAATAACCTTGAGGCAGAACAGTCTTCTCAGCGGTTCTTTGAAGAAAAGGTACCAGATCGAGTCACACAAATCCAAAAGAAAAGTAGTAAGCACCACATCGTTTTTGATGGTGTTGGGTTTGATCTTCCTAACGAAGATTTCATTGATCTCATCGATAAAATAAAGAGTAAGGACCTCATTAAATTCTATAAAACGCCAGATACGAAGGAAAAGTCAAATTTAGAACAAAGATTGGAACCAACACATTCTGCATCTTCGCCGATAAAGACTATTGAGCACATTAAACCCGAAGATCTGGAGATGAAACTCAGTTTCCCTACAAAAGCCAGATCTAGTGTTACCCACTCGGATAAAGAGTCCGATGACGTGGAGAAGACACCTTTACACAAACTATACGGAAAAGAAGGGGCGCTGGGTTGGAACCCAAAGGACCGTGAGAGACGTAAGTTGCTTATTACAAGATCCTTATTACAAAACTGATAAATTCTCAATGCTTGCATTCTTGGATTTAACACTTTATGATGAAGTGGGCGCCATAAGATATTGCCCGGTAGGGTGACAATAAAAGTACATTAAAGGATCGGCCAATTATTCCCCTGAGTGATTTGTTTCATTGTTCCTCCTTAAGACCCTCATTACATAAAGTGTGTTTCTGTATATTATTTTGTTCGCCTTTAATAAGCTTGGAGCGAGCTTAATAGTTTGTGTAATGTGATACGTGTAATTCTACTTGCATACAATAACTTATATTGATTTTAAGAATTATTCCACCAGCGCATGATATATTTGAAATTAAACAACGGTGCGATGCAATTTATTAACTGATCAGAATGATCAAGGAAAGGATTTAAGGAAAGATTTGTCTCCAGTATCGGCCAAAAAACCGTGGAACTGAATTATACATTGATTTAGTTTTTACCTCATCATATACCACACAGACGAATAGTGTTTTACACCCGCTCTGGTTGGCTAATTCCGATGTACATGGCAAACCAGTGCTTGAGAAGGCGCAAAGAGCTGGTGTTGCCCATTTGTACGTAATTGTAGGGAAAATAGTAAATGCTGGTCCCGCTGGCTAATTACTAAATTAAATATATAACTTATCTTATAATAAGATACGTGAGATACATAATTATTCACTTCCTTGCTGGTGATAGGTATGAAAAATTACCTAAAAGATTTCATAAGGAAATATTCACCCGGCTTTTCACCTTCGACAAAAAATAAAGCGGGACAACTGATAACAAAAGGTTCATTCGGACCACAGTTAAAATAAGGTATAACTAAATAACACCAACTTATAAGCGTGTTGTTCTTTGACGATTTTAATTTCCAGTACGGCCAACTTATCACTGGTCTTTAAACAAACGCATTAAAGATCGGATTCCGGGAAGTCCTGGGCCCGCTATACGAACCCACGGAGAAATGAAAGCTATTCGAGGAGGACTGCATCTTAACGGTAACAATTCATGGCTGGGAGCTGGTGACTTCTCAGGAGGCTGCATAAGCGGTATGGTAGCATTCCGGCTGTTGTAACTGTTGCTTTTCTTGTCGTAACTTAAGGGTAGAAACAAAGGACCTGCGGGTTCTGGAGGTTTATTGGGAGTAAGAGATCGGAAACTCCTGGAGCGCCAATGGAGCCATGTTTTCCAAAGGTGCTGGAACGTTTCCTCAGAGAATTTTTGGCCGTTTCAGGGAACTATTATCTCAGCTAAAAATTTTGATATCTTCAGAAGCCTTTCGTTCTTTAAAAAGATAGTCAGGACAAGTGCAATTTTCAAGGAAGCAATTAGCATGCCGACATTTTAAAACTTTTTTCTTGGACGTAAAGGAACCAAAAACAGCAGTTCAGTCCACTGCCGGACAAGTGCTGGGCAAAGGTCTAATTGGGGTTCCAACACGTTCTTCTAAATTTTCAGCTCCTAGACTGAATCCGCTAGAGATCACTGACTACAACTTATATAAACACCTATCTGATTATAAGAACTTAATTTGTAGATCCAGATACATGCGAAGATGGCTTGTCGTTTGAGATGACCTTTCGTTTAGACAAAGATGCATTAAAGTATAACGACATGAAATACCTCGTCGATTCCGGAGCATCGACATTCAACTCTAAAGGATTCAGTCTCTACACCGTTCACGGAAATCTGAGAGCTGATTTAGCTATTGCAGATCATGAGTTTTGTTTGCAAATCCCGTTAACAGTCCAAAAATGGCAGGACATTCTTGTCACTTGGAAGAAAAGCGAAGGTAAGGGCTATTGCATTACATTGACATTTGCGGCTCCGTGGAAATAACTCGGCCGATTGGTGCATGAGCAAGAAAAAGCAAAACGTTCTGATCCCGTAAACCTGAAGTCTAAAGTCTTAAAAATATCAAAACGCACCTTCTCTAAATATTTCTTGAGGTAATAAAGGAAGGATATGTTATTATTGTGGTTTTCAGGAATGAAGATGTACATAAACTGTGAACTGAAGGCACATACCGAGGGAAGTGAGCACTGTATAGGCTGTCACTCTAGAGGCTGCCACATGACAGATATCAACACCCTACTGATGATTGGAAGGCCGAATTACAGCCCGCACTTTCACTGCACTAAGTTTGACAGTGGTGACGTCTCCTTCTGGGAGAAGTACTTGTCGGCTAAAGATGTGGAAACACTATGTGGAGCACCCACAGGTAAGGGTTGATTTAGATGTCAAATTCCAAGTCATTTTTAAGGCAACAGAGAAACCACCGGAGCCTTCACTCTTAGTGTTAAAAACAGGACACGGCGAGTAAACTTTTCTTGAAGTAATAAGTAAGCCTCAAATTTGTGACCAAAATTTAGTCTAGTAAGTAAACCGTGGGGGAGGGGGAGCTGTGCGTGACGACTCCTTTAATGCCCAAGTCCGCCTATAGAAGCTATTTCAGTACGTTTCGGCTAAATAGTGCTAGTATGCAAAATAATGTGTGATTTGGTTATTAGGTTAGGAACTAGAGATTATGCTAAATAGCAAGTTAATTGGTCAAAATCCACTCAATTACTGAGCTTTTGTCACGTTGTTTTGCATACAGAGAATAGAATAGAGAATAGAATAGTAAACTTTATTAATGTGTCGGAGCTGTGTAGCTTGGGAACAACCCCATACTAAAAAAATTTCTAAAATATGCCGCTTGTGGAGTCCTGCTTTCAACTTACAGCCATGTTAAAACTACTTTATTTCGGCTGTTTTCTTTGTTTGCCACCGCGTTAATTGGCAAATATGACCTAGCCATAAAACAACAAATCATTGCACGGTTGCACGTTAATCGATACCCGATATTCTAAACGCATGACGGATGTAAAAATGATAGACTGCATGGCAAATTTTATTGTGAAATTAAAAACTGACACCAAATCTCTCTAAAACATTAAATATGGTGTATTTCTAAGGAAAATACTTTAATGGGAAAAAAAACTTAATACACGTATCATCGGCAATATGTGGGAACAGACAGAAGTTAAACGTGAAAGAAAAATTAATTATCGTTCATTTTAATTTCACACCCTATATACTTTAGTCACAGGGTTAAGCTTTGCCGAGTCGTTCATATGAGCTACTCTGATTCGCTCGGGAAGGAAAGAAAATCATTTATTAAGTGTGACTTTTCCGTAGGCTATGACCCAGTGTTCTTTTCATTGAGTGCATTATTTGTTTTTCACTATTGTTCACTTAACGAAACTTCCGGTGGTATATTCTTCATTTTTGTAAAAACAAAACAAAACCCGCGCAGAAGGCGGAATCGAACCGCTCCGACGCTAATCGGCTACAGGTTTGAAGCCTGCACCCCACACCAGTGAGGCTCATCCGCGCAATGATATAGTAGGGAACTCTTGAGTATTTATTAGATTATTATTGTGCATTCTCGCTCATGTGGTGCGTTAGTCAGTCACACTTTCTTTTTTCTTTCTTTCGAAAGCAATTTGTCTCAGAGAGAGTGTTAAACATGCAGTTTTATGTTTTACATGTTGCTGTGAGCAGTCAGAACAAATAAAATAATAATTTTGTCTATAAGCAATAACATCTCTTTCGAAACGATATGCTATGCCATAGGCGCATGCGTAATAAGTGTTTCGATTTTTAGTTGTCTACTATGTTGCTCTTCCCTGATGTTTCTGAATGTTACCCGTTGCAAAAAGGATAACCCCTTTCTGCCAAAGCCAAAATTTTCATTAAAAATATTTTCATTGCTAAATATTGTGAGTCAATCCTTTAAAGGAATTTCAAAAGCGTTGACCGTAGATTTTAGAGTAGGGTGACTGAGAATGTCGGCTTAAGAAAGCATTCTGCGTGAGATACAGTAATTAAATATAAAAGCCTTGAGTGCTACGTTAAACTAAGGTGCTACCTAATTAATTCATCTTCTCGTCATGGTGAACATTTCAGCCATGTGCCGGTTAATCTATATTTCTACTTAATCATTTTGTAGGTGAAAAGGAAGCGTTCAGTGAATCGATATATCTGCCCACTCCCACTATTCTCCCGGAGGTCAGTCAACGGAAATTTTTTTCACCAACTGTCAATCAAGCAGCAGTTCACGCTTACCCACTTCAAAGTTATATAGCAAATCAGCTGTATTTTAATCGTTATACAGGTAAGGGTGCAGAGCCGCTTTCTTCAGTTACAAGTTCTCTTTCGAGGCACTTCGAAAGTAATAATCCACATGCTTTATTTCCTGGTGTCTCAAAAGTGCGTAAAAAACAAGACAGAAATAGTCTCGCTTTAGAACACACCAAAGGGCGTTGGGAAAAAGTTTCCTCGAGGCAACTGACGTTGCCTATTTCATCTATAGTCAGGGGTGTGGTAATGCCTTCTACAATTATAACAGCATCAACTATTTCAAAATCGCACGATAGCCCTAGATTGGCCGGCATTGCCCGTTCCAACTCTTTTCTACTTCATAAGCTTTTCCCTTACTATGCAAAGCAGGCTTCACAAACTGAGACTAGTCAAAGTACAAAAGGGCAACAGGATAGATTAACCCAATCAAGAGCAGATTTTAGTTTCCCCTTTAACGTTGCGTTTCAGTCTAAGCCCTCTTTGCAAAGCACACCGGTTCTAAAAAATACAGTAACACCATACATTAACTATAAAACCATAAGTAGTCGATATGAGAATCAAAACATCATAGCCTCTAGTTCACCAAATGGCTATAATGATGCTAGCATCGTTCCTTACAAAAATGCCAGGTTAAGTCAGACTGCAAATGGGTTAATGCAAGCTTCTTTTGACCCATATTCACACCTAACAAATCGAGTAACAGCAGCTTCTACTAATATCTTATCATCGCCTAATACGCATGAGCCCGCTCTATCGACAGAACGAGTAGGCGATATCGCTGGTGTTTCGAAACAATTCTACACCCGGCTGTTGCCGTGGGGAAACGAACGTAGAAAGGTCCCAACTGCAGACAAAATTGTGACTGAGGGGGAACTAAAAGAAAAGGGGTTGCTGGCACATATTTTGTCACGTGATCATATCAATTATAGCACGCGTGTTATATCGAAAAAGAGTAACCGTAGCCACTAAACGATAGGGAAATACAGTGGCGAGTGTCTCTACCTAAAATAGGACTCAGTTCAGGAAAGTAAGAACCTAGATTTGTCTGCTTGCAGTATAAAACCGCATCGAAGATGAAGCAAGAGATTTGATTCACTGAAAACAGACAGCATCGTGTGAACGTAAAAAAAAATATTAGCACAATGTGAATTTCCGCATTACAATTTAGTACCCTTTCTAATCAGTATTGTTGGAAGACTTAACCAGTCCATCTCTTTATTCTTTTTTTAACTAACTAACACATTATCTAGCCGAAAGGGTTTTCTCTTGCTAATTCTTTGAAAGGTTCACAATTAAGACAAGTCAAACGCAAATAATAATCTAAGTATCATAGGCTTTAGACAAAGCGTTCTTGTTGTTACTCCTAATCAGTAGAAATAGCGGACTAATTTCCCAAAGACATACACTGAAACTAGCTGAGTATTAGATACTTGTAATCAGGATTCAAGGACTAAAACGAACAAGCAATTTACTACCAAGAATCTGCCAATAACATTTACTGCACTAGAAGGAGAATGAGGCAAGATTATTCCACTAACAACAGTAACCTAACCATCTCTGTAGCTCTCGTCGTCACTCGCCTCTGATCCATCTTATGAGTTTTTCCATGCGTTTTAGTCAGTTTTTAAACCATACTTAACTCAGTTACCACTGCAGTTGTTCGACGTGAGAAAAATGCAGTACATACGTTTGGCGGGTCCTTGGAAAGATCTTCCGATTTGGAGCAGATTTTGCCGGTTGCTAACATTGTGACCTATTCTTTTAAATCTATTACCATTATGGATGTGACTGGAAACTATTGTGAGTTTACACTAAAGCATGTATTCTAAGAATAAAAGGATATTTCACGTTTTCTAGACGTTGATTACTGGAGCGGTAAAATCCTTCCCTGCGATGCGTGTTGCGCTTGACAATGCCTCAATTTGCATCCGTTCTAAGGAGCCGTCCCTTCTGTCTGTCGTACTGCAACCCTTCCAATTATCGTTACCGGTATAATACCGTATTTCTTGTTGTCTACATTACAAATAACTAATCCCCTTTAGGCCGCAGCCAATAATAGGTTCGTTTGCGAGATACCGGGCACTTGAAACGTGACCAAGAAGCGAAGCCTCAAACTGGGGAAGAGTATAAGATTTTGGAACCATTGCTGGTACAACTTCAGGCAAACAAATTTCAAGGACTTTTCAAGGATTTTTCAAGGACAAATTACAGTTTTTAAGGACTAAGATAAATCGGCATTCTCAGCCAAGAGCGGAGAATCCTCGCCCCCTCTTCACACCCCCCCCCCCCACCACCCCCTTTCCACCTCAAAGACAGCAACCAAGACAGGAGTCTGATACATAAAATATGATTCTCCGACTAAATTCCTAAACGTAGTACTCATTACAGATCGACAAATGGCATAGATTTTAGTGTTGTATGCTGACAACGCATTCGTAACGAAATAGTAAAAAGAAAAAGATTTTGAAATGTAACGCAAACCAAACGCAAAAAATCAGCGCCCTGATAGCCGGAAAATTCGATTTGGTATCGCGCGATTTTTCCACTTTCCGTTAACAACTACCATAACACGTGAGATATTGTGTTTAATGAGTCACGAGAAAATAAATCGCCGGGTAGACCAACACCAGTGGTAGTGTACTCTGACTCATAAAAACAAAGCCTTCTGCACAAAGGATAAACCAAACCTTTTTAACTAATCACAAAGCTTGTGCTGTGAGCACGTGGTTTCACTATCTCATCACTGCAAACTGAAGAAGACTCTGAACAGCCTAAAGTTTAACCCTTAAAATGATAAGCTCTTCAGTAGCACTTTGCTGCGGTACCATTAATTATAAGGTACACTGTACAAGGTACACGACGTCAGAAGCTGTTCACTGATTTGTACCATTCATGGTAGCTGTAGATTTTGAGTGTGTGTCCATTTCAGTGGCGCTGTTTATGATACTGTACAAGATGATTTAAATAAAGAAATTTTACCAATACCTTCCAAAATTATTTGAAGTGCTCTTATAGTTCAACGAAAGAATTTGATTCGGGATAACATTGAACACAGCATAGACCAAAGGCCGGATTCTGTTATTCTCACATACGCAAAGGAACATTTCTAGCAACTAATAACAGAGTGTCAATTCTATCTTGTTACGTTCCCTTCTCTTCATCTTAGTTTGTAAATTGTAAAGGACGCGGTACTTTAGTAAATAGAGTAGGGAGACTGAAACTGGGGTAAACAGAGAGGGAAAAGCGATTAGATAAACGAAAACACAACAGCCTATCGCATTCCGCACTTGTGGATTCACTATGAACTTCTTTTATACCCACATAGTATGTCTGCTGATAGATTACGCAGGTGTTTGGCTCAGATTGACGGGTTAAAAAAGGGCCATTGACGTAACTGTGAGGTGCAAATGATGTTCTAAACCTAAAAATTTCAATGCAGGACTCGCCACTAGGACCACTAACGTGGACCATCAGCTGTTCACATCGTGGAGTGCTTGGAGCGCATGCTCAAAGACATGTAGTGCTGGATTCCGTACTCGCACGCGCTCTTGTATCAACCCGAACCTCTTTCCAAATCTGTGTCATGGTCTTTCCATACAACACCGATCGTGTCTTGATCGGTTGTGTACAGGTAGGGAACGCAGTTCAAATTACGGTTGATAAAAAGACCTGATCTTATTTCTATCCAGAGTAAGCGGCACCCGCGTTATCAAAGGAAAGGAGAGGAAAAAATTCATCTGTTTCTGTCTTTACGGACAGACGAACGCAGACCCAAGAGACGAAACGTAAACGCAGACCCTCTGAACAACTGATAAATGTTAATACTTAGACGTAATAGATAAAGGAACTGGCACAAATAGAGGATGTCAAGCAATATCAGAATAGAGGTGGCCGGAAAGACATGATATAGGCACGATTACAAGAACATCGTCCTGGTTTTCCGAAACGACGGCTGGATTGAAAATAACGAACGAAAGAGAATGGAAGGAAAGCGGAGTGTTTGACGAGCATTTGCCGCGTCTAAGCGGATGCAAGAGAAAACGCAAAAATAGAAAAGGAGGAGAGAGAAGAAGGAGAAAAAACATCATAACGAACGTAAAAGGAATATGCCAAATAAAGAAATACAATTAATTAAATGAATGAAGTTAAAAGGAAGGGTCGACATGTGAAATTGGGTTGTTTCTGCTTTTGCAGTTCATTCGTGCGAATTCATAGACGTTCAAACTAGATTTTCCAGCAGCTGTAGACTCCTAAGTTATTGTTATTCTTTCTGCTATATTTCAGCATATACTTCGATGTTATCAGTCCTTTCCCCACAACGCAGCAGATTTTTCCCTTTGGAGCAGGCCGCGAAATCTTACACAGGTATTCATTCAAGTAAAGACAACTTTTGGTATTTATATCACCGGCTTCTGTTTAACTATTTTTACACAGATACCGGTATCGGCAGTCAGTATTAACAAAGCACTTTACGTCTCTATTAGTTGTAAATTAATTTAAAAAGGTAAATGGGGAAATGAAAAGCAACTGCAGTGATACTCAAAGAAACATATATTTCTCTTTATAGGCAGCTTTCACTATGCGGCTGCGAACATTGGAAAGGAGAATGCTCTTGCTCGAGCCATGGCTGTAGGTAAGAGAATATATGGAAACTTAATTATTTCCATTACTAGTATTTGAAGTTTTATGCTACCTCGCGCTCGAAAGAGAATGGATAGTAGGAAATTCATTTTAGAACGTAAAGTTTTAAAGAGACCTGAGAGAGAGAAAGTCCGGTTTGGTCAGGAAAATCGTAGCGTTATTAAACTCAATCGACAAACATACTCGTTTTCGAGTTCACATAAATTGATTTATATTCCGAACTCCCTGTTTCATACTTTGAGTACGTGTCGAATTTAAAGAGCTAGAACAAACATCAGCATGAAGAGAAAAAAAAAATTAAATAAATGCGCCCAACGTGGGGCTCGAACCCACGACCCTGAGATTAAGAGTCTCATGCTCTACCGACTGAGCTAGCCGGGCGCTGTTGTGCTGGCAAAATGCGGCAGAATTATAGGATCTTCAATCTCAAATAATTAACTGGACTACAGTTTCTTCGAAAGTACCCGATCCTATAATCCTGCCTCACCTTACCAAAAGTTCTGTCTATGTCTCCTTTCATTGCAAGCATGCACAAAGAAGCAACCATAAAAGAAGGATCAAAATATCATTTAAGCAAGTTATTCAGCACATTCCTTCACTTGTACAAAATAAAGTAGTGGCCGAAGGAAAAAGATGGACGCCCAACGTGGGGCTCGAACCCACGACCCTGAGATTAAGAGTCTCATGCTCTACCGACTGAGCTAGCCGGGCGCTGTTAGTAAGGAATGCCGACAATAGCTGGCAGTAGACAACACTACCAAAAAACAATACGGTTGAACAAGAAGCCGTAATCAGAAACGATGACCGATTGAAAAAGTCAAATGGGTTATTTTTGTGGAAAAAATTGCACCATCGCGAGTAACACGTGCTCAATTTTTGTGAGGACACCACGCTGAGGAAAAACAAACATCGCATGGCGTCGAAAATTACCTTGGCTCAAACGACAGTTTGTATATTATTTAAATAATAAACATTCATGATTATTTTAAACTCCTTCAGACGGCGGGTACGGTGAGTGGTCCGACTGGGGTGTTTGTGACAGATCATGTGGAGGAGGTGCTCAAGTGCGAACTCGTCTCTGTAACAGGCCCGTTCCCAGTAGGGGCGGAAAGATGTGTCATTCATTAGGCCCAGCTATTCAAGTACGGCGCTGCAATCGCAAAGACTGCCCAGGTAACTTATAAGTCAATAAAAATCCCTGATTTTAAAGGAAATTGGTCGTTATATCGGTTTTAGAGGATTAACACTTACTATACATCTGCATAAAAGTATCGGTTTCATCCGCTTACCTCAAGTTATTCATGTTATATCTTCATGACTGTTTGCATATTTGTTGATCTCTGTTGACCTTTGTTTACTCCAAGCTTTGCACTCATCTACGGCCATAGAGTGCTCATTTTTACGTCAAGACAAGCCACCTAAATATTTTGCCGTCGAAGAACATAAGATTAGGTATTTCTCTAAAGCTTAATGTACTTGTTAGAACTTATCTACTTAAACAATTTCTTCATGTACTGTTTTTATTTTTAAGTGCGTGCACGGACGACACGCCACGGCGATTTGCAATACAAAACCTCGTTTGTTTAAGAGGTCAGAACGAACTGTTAACGCTTACTCTGTTATAAACTTACCTTTATACGTACTTCTGCCTTTCAAAGAGCAGAAATTTCGCTTAAAATCCCCTCAAATTGTTAATTTTTCGCGAACATATTTTTCAACTGACTCAAATGACTGACACGAGCGATGCGCTGTTTAATTTTGGCGCGAAATTTTAATTTCCGGTTCTTAAATGGCTTCCTTTGAGGAAATAGGTAAGAAATGTTATCGAATGTCACGAAGTCCACTACCATGACTTCCCCAATGATAAAAGTTCCTTGTATTTTCAGTCACTAAAATATATGTAATTTTATTAAACAGTCGGATATATTCCTAGGCTCGTATTAAATGCCCTAACGGAAAACGTAAAACTTAACTATATGATGGATTTCCGAGATCCCCAAAAAAATCAAAACGAAAAGCATTATAAAAAAGCACTGGCACATTGTAATGATGCGCCACATGAACGTATGCCACCCACGGTCCTTTTATTTATTTATTTATTTTTTAAATTTTCCACGCTATACCCAATACCATACCGATGATTCCTCCTTGAAGCGAAGCGCAGTCGGAGTTCCCGGAGGGGGCGGGTTAGTCAACTTAGCCTCACTTTGTTTTGAGATTCTCCTTTTTTGCTTGAGGGAATATTCGCTCTTCTTTATAAATGACTTTTTTTACTAAATATGCTCAATTTAAGGATTAGACGGTTGCCGATTTTGTAAGCGCAAGTTTTAAGCATCCGGGTCGCTTATTCACGCCTACCCCTCCCCCCACGACACATGTATGCCCGACCAGGGAACCGTTTCTCGAAAGTCCCGGTAACTTTTCGGGCCCGGAAAGCTGTTTTATGTTTGCCGTGTTTGCATTTAAGGTCAAAATTTCAATAATTTTGAAAATGATAGAAATGAAACAATCAGTTAACGAAGCAAAACTGACTGGTTTGTGTGCTAGGGACTGTGCTACTATTCAACAGGATCCAACAGGTTTTGATTTGAAAATTTGCCTTCGGACCCGAAAAGATGCTAGACTACGAGATGTCCCCCATTTTTCCTCAGGGATAGTAGAGCGAGCGAAACGCGAGCGCGTGAAAATCACGCGCGCTTGCGTTTCTCTCGCTCTACTATCCCTGAGGACAAATGAGGGACTACTCATATGTCTAAACGGTTGCCGGGTTATAATAATAAATGATGTTGGTGATGATAATGATGATGATGATGATGATGATGCTTGTGATGATGTTGCTTATATGATGATAATGATGATGACAGACAACTCATGGAAAAATTCTTTCTTTACTTGCAAAGTTGATGGAGGTTACAGCCCATGGAGCGAGTTTGGTCTTTGCTCAAAATCGTGCGGAACAGGAGGACTCCAGAAGCGCTATAGGACATGTTCAAACCCCGCTCCTATGAACGGCGGAAAGCCCTGTTTTGGACATCCTTATCAAACTAGAGTTTGCTCAGTAATACCTTGCCCAGGTACTAAAAGTAATATCAAATAGGCCATCTCCGAGTTCCAAAAACTCTCATTTTCAAAACCAGGCTAACTGCAAAAACTTTTCTTGTAAAAATGAGTTTCATTTTAGAGGGAATGAAAACCCATTTTCATATCATTCAATGGCTTCGCACTTAGCCTCGCCTTGAAACAGAGGCCTGGGGCAAATAGGAATGGCTAATTAGGAAAGCTATATCTTCCCGAGATGAAGGAATGTAGGCTCCGGGGCTCCCCTGCAACAAATCTAATGACCGCGCATTTCCAGCAGACCCTATGAACCTCATTGCTTTTCCAGGGTTTTAACGCAATTTCCAAATTACAACTAAACAGCTACATGTTTAAAGATACTAAGTACCTCACTAGCCTGTGTATAGACCTCCCTCCTCTCAGGAAAAATCGGAAAAGGGGCGCTTCTCCGATTTTTCCTGAGGGGAAGGGGGGAGGGGTCTGTACACTGGCTAGTACCTGACCATCTAGATGGCTAGATGTGTTTCCTTTTCCGATCACTCGTCATAACAATGTGTCCCATTCACAATCTCGAAGCTGGCTCATTCCCACAACACGATGAAAGAGATTTTAAAAAAATTTATTTCAATTTACAGTTGATGGAGGATACAGTATGTGGTCTCCATGGTTACCGTGCGATGCAGACTGTGGAGGGGGGATACAAGAGAGAAGCCGTTTCTGTAATAACCCAGTTCCCCAACCAGGGGGAAAAGACTGCAGTATCTTAGGTTCCAATAAGGAAACACAATTTTGCAACGTGTTTCCTTGTAGTGGTAATTTTTAGCCTAGTAGTGCATTCTGTAATGAAAGATCTGGTTGCAGTTGTACTAGCAAATCCCTTGATTTAAGTGCGGTCAGGGCCCTGTCTTTGGAAGCCATCTTGCCTTAATTATGGGTTAATTGCACATGAGTATATGAGTTGTCCTGGCAACTTAACAAGTGCTGGACTGGCGTAAATCAAGTAAACTGGCCCAGCAACGTAGAAATGAAGGCAAGAAACTCAGATAACTTGTTGCATCAAATTAACTGCTGGCTTAGAACAGCAGTACCCTCGGTACTGATGGTATAAAATGAAATTAAGCCGGGACTTGTATAGTAGAATATTTCCACAACAACCAAACACAACCTATTTAAAAATACTACCACAATGTTACATTTACATACTATCATCCTATAACTTTTTTCTATCAAAAAAAGACTTTTTTGCACACCACTTGCATGAGTTCAATGATGGCCATTTTCTTACCATAACAATTTTCTGTTAAATGTTTTTTGCCTTCAATATAATTAACTGTGATATAATTTGATCAACAACAACATACAACTAGCTGTCTTTTTCAAAACTCATTAGTTACCTAGTAACCTTGGCACAGCTAAATAGGCAGAAATCTCCATAATATGGACACAAAAGGGGTAGATTCCTTATAGAGATGTCTGTATTATAGAGTTAGCAATAAATGCCACAATAATACTATTGTATTTAAATGTCTAGTAGCTAAGTAGCTGACCCAAGACAAATACCTATTATAGAGATTTGTTTGTATCAAAGAGCTGTCAATAAGGAAAGATTCAATTGTCCATCTGTTTAGCTGTTGCCATTGGCCACAGTTAATGGGGAGCTTAAGCAATGATGATGACGACAACAACAAGGATGGCAAAACAACAATAGGGTTAGTAGATTAGCAAAACAGTGACTCTACATGTGCATTAAGCTTTTTGTACACTTCTTTGCTGTTGTTACATGACCACGCTAATAGTTACCTAATTTCATGTTTTGTGGAGGATTTTAATTTATACATGAACAAGATAAAACGATTTTCTAATTCTTTTTTAAAAAGCTTAGATGGAGTCTTTTAGAAGTAAACCTCAGAGAAAATCACCAACATTTGATGAATTGAGTGACATATAATAAGGCGATGAATTTTGAAACAGTGAGAATTCTCTCTTCAAGAGATATTTTTCCCACCATCGCTGTCATTGCTCAAGCTCCCTAATGGGAGAAATACTTCATGAGCATCTTCCCAATGTACTAAGGAAGACCAAAGAGCCTCTNAGCTGACCCAAGACAAATACCTATTATAGAGATTTGTTTGTATCAAAGAGCTGTCAATAAGGAAAGATTCAATTGTCCATCTGTTTAGCTGTTGCCATTGGCCACAGTTAATGGGGAGCTTAAGCAATGATGATGACGACAACAACAAGGATGGCAAAACAACAATAGGGTTAGTAGATTAGCAAAACAGTGACTCTACATGTGCATTAAGCTTTTTGTACACTTCTTTGCTGTTGTTACATGACCACGCTAATAGTTACCTAATTTCATGTTTTGTGGAGGATTTTAATTTATACATGAACAAGATAAAACGATTTTCTAATTCTTTTTTAAAAAGCTTAGATGGAGTCTTTTAGAAGTAAACCTCAGAGAAAATCACCAACATTTGATGAATTGAGTGACATATAATAAGGCGATGAATTTTGAAACAGTGAGAATTCTCTCTTCAAGAGATATTTTTCCCACCATCGCTGTCATTGCTCAAGCTCCCTAATGGGAGAAATACTTCATGAGCATCTTCCCAATGTACTAAGGAAGACCAAAGAGCCTCTGCTTGCAGCATGATGCAGAACAGAACAGGCATCTTTAGGAAAAATGTAACGAATCATTATATTCTGTGAACTTGGCACATTGACCAGAGAATAAAATTTAAATCAAACAGTGGAGAAAGAAAATTTAATAATAGTAGTTTCTTTCATGAGTATGATAACAGGGAAACTAGCATTACAATACAGTCTATCCTCTCGAAGAAGGATATCATTAAGACCACCACTTAATTTCCGTCTTATACAAGTGTGTGCCTTGTAGAAAGTCAAAGGTAATGATTGACGGACAGCAGGGACCAACCCAAGGTGTCTATTTTAAGGAGGTGCCTGTATTATAGAGAGTCAAAGAAAATGACTAAAGAACAGCAGCCACCAACTCTAGGTGTCTGTTTTAGAATGGTGTCTGTCTCTTAGAGAGTCAAAGAAAATTACGGAAGAACAGCAGATACCAACTCTAGGTGTCCATATAGGGACGTGTTTGTCTTATAGAGAGTCAAAGAAAATGATGGAAGAACAGAAGGGACCAACTCTGGGTGTCCACTCTTCGGTAGGTGTCCATCTTAAACAGAGTCAAAGGAAATGACTTAAGAAAGGAAGGTACCAACTACAGGTGCCCGTTTTAGGGAGATATCCACCTTATAGAGAGTCAAAGAAAATGACTGAAGAATGGCAGGAACCAACTCTAGGTGTCTGTTTTAAAGAGCTGTCTGTCTTATATTAAAGAGAGAGGTGGCTGTTCTCTGTCTCATACAGAAGTTTGCTTTGAAGAAATTCAAAGTTAATAACTCAAGAATAGAAGGAACCAGCTCTTAGTGTCTGTTTTAGGTAGGCATCTGTCCTATAAGGAAGAGGTGACTGTAAAAATACCATATCATGCTGTCTAAGATTACAAAGTGTCCTACAGTGTGTACTTGTAGCATACTGTCTCTTTGGTACATAATAACATTCAGACTTTTTGGGTGCCATACTTTATTTCCCTCAACGAATCACCTCCTTGTTCCTTCATCCCATTCTGTGCAAATGTAGCCTGTGTCACAGACATAACCTTACCCCAGTTAGCAATGTCTGCAAAGCAGTGCTGATGTCCTTGTTTTTGGCCCTCGATGAACTCAACAAATTGCTGGAAATACACTTCAAATTTCCCTTCACCTGACTGGCAAATTTACAAATTATGGCTTTTTAAACAGGCTTATTATGGTGAGTACTAAAATCCTCGTACACAGGTGGGGGCCCGGCAGAACAGCAATTTCGACCCTGTTTCGCAGACAAACTTAACCAGAAGTTTACTTAAGTATGTGACACAGGCTATGCAAATGGTGATCACTAACACAGAAGACCTTCTTGAGTAGTGACATCAGCAGAAAAATTAACTATGCTTGGCAGAAAATCAATACCAGAGACTTAAAGACTTCCTATTGTTCTCAAATCTCACAAAGTATTTTTAGATAACGAGCTGAATAATCTGTGAACGAATTTTAAAGACATTTCCATGGCAGCTCTTCAAGGTGTTGAAACTGATTTTCTGCTCAAGATTTAATTGCAATTTTCTGCTGAAATCACTTTAATAGGTCTATTCTCCTAAGGATTCTAACTACAAATAATTAAACCCAAAGAGATGATGTTTGTACATGTACATGATGAAATACAAAATAACATGGGACTTCGATTCTGTTGACCACATAATGAACAATAATAAATTTACAGGTCTCATAATTCATTATTTTACCTGAGTGGTTAGTAAGCATCCATAATCTTATCACTGGACTGCCTGATTGATAAAGTTTCTAAAATCTTGCTTATTTATAATATCAACAGAATTTTCCTCTTCTTTTTTGTTTGTCCTTTTTAACCTTTATAACTCCAGACTGTTCATTTGCTTTTGCTAGTTTGTCTTTCTTTTGCTTAAGAACCATGTGTGTTATTGCATTGAATACCTGCAAAACAAGAAGACCAAAGTTTTCAATAATGCTCTTCTTTTACAAAGTTCTGATTCACATTTTACAAATTAAAATTTTTTGCAATAAATTCAAGTGAAAAGTAGAAAGCACATTGTAACTGCCATTCTGGATTTATATGGAGTCATCAGCACATAACAGTCCTTGTTTACATCTCTCTACCAATTTGCAATAACAGGCTGCCTTTTAGTAAGTGGACATTTTTCATCTTGTTCTTTCTGGATGTGTCAACTTATCCCATAATTTCACAATAATTTAGTTCTTGTGCCGTCACAACTTCTTTTCCCAATTCAGGTTAAAATTTTTTAACCTAGGTTTTTTCTCAATTTCCTTTGTATCCAAGCCAAGGCAAAGGAAATTGAGAATCAACCTTGGTTTAAAAATTCTAACCTGAATTTAATTTTGACCTCTAAGATCTATTCACAGATTCAAAAATGATCTATCACCAAATAAACATCAAAATAATAAATAAATAACTCTGGAAGGTATGTTCTCAAGCTATTCCACATCAATGATTTCCAGCTCTTTCAAGTACATACCTCTTCCACATTTTTATTGTCTTTTGCACTTGTTTCAAACACCTGAATTCCCATTTGTTCTGCAAACTTCATTGCATCCTCTCTTTCAACAACTTTTCTGTCTGGATCATCATCTTTGTTACCAACTGTATATGACATACAAAATTCAATCAGAAAATGTCAGTCACAGGTATTGTCATAAAGTTAACCGTATAATAATGTCTTATACTTAATCATTTATTATTAACATCATTACAGTGTGTCCAGGAAAAGCATGAACACTTGAAATATCTCAGGAATGTTTATTGTGTTAGCACCAATCACAGCAAAGATCAGGACATGCGAACTAGCCACAAAACCACAAACTAATTGATGTTCTTGCTCGTGGTTCAGTTTTCTCATGCCTGATTGGCTTTTTTCTTGCAACACAATAACATTCCAAATAATTCTGGTGTTCACAGTTTTCCTGGTTTGACTGTAATATTATCATCAATGCATTACAGAACTGCGCTTATTGAAACTTGTCAATGTTAAACGCAAATTTTGTGTCAATCAAATGCCTCCTATTAATTGTAGGTGGAAACTAGTGAGACATTTTGATTGTTTTGGAGACAACAGAAGAACAAAAGATACCAGAAAGATCAAGTTACGCTGTCTTAAAGCATGATGCGTGACTTTATTCAGTTGCAGCATTTCTCATATCTTTCCTGCATTAAAAAGTTGGAATAAAAAGTCTGAAGTGAAGCTCAAAATATTTCGAAATAAACAGGGTGCCCAAAAAGGCGAGCATGTGAGAAATCAAAGGCGACGTTTTTGTCTCCAGCAAAATTCACCAATGAAGGGTAATTTGCATATAAGTAAGTGAAGCGAAATAGACACATATCGCTGTGGTTGAAAACGCAAAGTTTCTTTCAAGTTTTTTCCTTCTGAAAGCGAAAATTCACATGAAAGAATTATGCTTTCATAAAAATTGGACAAAATGAAACAAAGCATATTGGACAAAAGTAAGGATATTTCAGTGTGATGGAAAGGATAGATAATTATTTTGTATACTGACAAAAACAATAATGTTTTTGTCAGTATGCAAAATTATTTCAAAGAATCAGTCTCTATCATGGAAACAATAAGCTAACACTTCACTCAGAGAGTCAAAGGACACAACATGGGTCCGCATCATTTCGTGTGCGCATAAATATTCATGGGACCCACAATTTTATGGCCAACACTTTTTCAATAGGCAACATTCCCTAATGGTAACTAAAAGTAATACCATTATCATCATCATTGGCAGAGCTCTGATCTCTACATATAGGTAAACAGCTCTGCCTTTACAAAACCTAAAAATGTACAATTTAAAGGTTTCTTTAAGGTTACGGACAATCACCTTCATATACAGTCAATGTACAATTGACTGTGGCATGCGAGTGTCAATTTTATACAATCACCTCTTTCTGAGATGGATGCCATGGTGCTCTAAATGATATGGTAATGGGTGGTGAGTGACAGAAAATGACTAACAAATAACTGGACAAGCTCAAGCCTAAAGACTCTGGAAATTATTAGAATTTGGACAAAATGCGCGTGAAATTATTCCAGGGGTGCCCAACGACAGTTTTCTGCAAAATATCTGTTTGAAGGAGCAAATATAGCCTAGAAATTTCTATACTAAAAGTAAAGCTAAGCATTTCTGGATAACATTTCTATTCATCTAAGATATTTGGAATTTTTTCAATTAGCTTCCCTACGATTTTCGGAGTTGGATTTTTCACATTTTATACCCAAGAACTGGCAATTATTGGTACAAAAAGGTCAACTAAAAATTTTGATATAAAGGAAAATTGTCTTCTAATATTTTCTAATGGAAATATGGCGACTCCGTGTCCTTGCAGTTTCGACAAGAACCACGGGGATAGCTAAAACTTTCAAGATGGCCAAAGTTCCCCTAAAACATCCAAACACATAATAAAATTTTTGGCAGTTCCAAATTAATGAAACAGACTACTAAAGCATAGAGAAATCCATTTTAGACATTCATGACTTGTTTGGAAAGATTCAGTCATTAAGTGCCCATTACCATTTGATTACACACACACTTTCCATCTTCGTATGACGAATACTGTTTATGGAAATTGTTATGAAAGCTTTTATTCTGTTACATTTACTTTACTATACACGTACAACAAGAACATGTGAGCTCCTAGGTGTTACGTGATTAAATAAAATTGATTGATTGATTGAAGGCCTTTAACTTGTGAAACAGTAAATGTAGGTTGTTAGTTAAACAATATCGTTGCCCCAAACATCTACTTACCCAAAATTCTTACTACCTCATCACAATTTTGATCAATTTCATGTAACCATCTTTTCACGTTCACAAATGTGTCCGCACTCGTCACATCATATACTACAATAACACCATGTGTCCCACGGTAATACCTGACAAAAAAAAATCATACTCTTTTATAATTGGATACTAAATGACAACTAATCTAATGTCAGAATTCTCTGTTTAAAATGTAAGCATGTGTCATGAAAATTGGAGGGAAAATTTGGTAGTTCATTGGAGGTCAGTACTTGATTCTAGGCATCCCCTCATTTAGTAAGATGTAACACCTATAATATACAGTCAAAAATTTGCTTTTGTAAACTGCTACAGGGTACATGTATATGTGTGCCAGAGAGAGGTTGCAGTGGCAAAAGCAATAAACTTGGCTAGGACCACTCCATAATGAGGTGTTGTGGTCCAAAATGAAATTCAGATGACAATGATTTCAGCCCAGTTTGAGTTTCAGTTCCTTTGTCAGCCAAACCCAATAACTCTTAACCATGAAAAATTAAGGCTAGGACACAAGGGAAATCAATTTTTACCAGGAGCGGAAGTATTGCAATTTTTAAGCACAAAAACGTCCATACCATGCATTTTTTATTCGTGTTTAAACTTTTATTTGAAAAAAAGGGAGGGGGAATTTTTGGCGACCACAATTTGCCCTCTGGCGACCAACAATTTATACTTGATCGCCAGTTGGCGCTCGTATTAAAAAGTTAATTTCGGACCCTGTGATGGAAGAACAGCAGGGACCAATTCTGGGTGTCCGCTGTTGGTAGGTGTCCATCTTAAACAGAGTCAAAGGAAATGACTTAAGAAAGGCAGGTACCAACTCTAGGTGTCCGTTTTAGGGAGATGGCCTCTATATTGGCCTTATAGAGAGTCAAAGAAAATGACAGAAGAATGACAGGAACCAACTCTAGGTGTCTGTTTTAGGGAGCTGTCTGTCTTATGAGAGAGAGGTGACTGTTCTCTGTGTCATACAGAAATTTGCCTTGAAGAAATGCAAATTTAATACCTTAAGAATTGAAGGAACCAGCCATTAGTGTCTGTTTTAGGTAGGCGTCTGTCCTATAAGGAAGAGGTGACTGTAAAAATACCATATCATGCAGTCTAAGATTACAAAGTGTCCTACAGTGTGTACTTGTAGCTTACTGTCTCTTTGCTACATCATAACATTCAGACTTTTTGGGTGCCATACTTTATTTCCCTCAATGAATCACCTCCTTGTTCCTTCATTGGATTCTGTGCAAATGTAGCCTGTGTCACAGACATAACCTTACTCCAGTTAGCAATGTCTACAAAGCAGTGCTGATGTCCTTGTTTTTGGCCCTCGATGAACTCAACAAATTGATGGAAATACACTTCAAATTTCCCTTCCACCTGACTGACAAATTTACAAATTATGGCTTTTTAAACAGGCTTATCATGGTGAGCACTAAATCCTCATACACAGGTGGGGGCTCGGCAGAACAGCAATTTCGACCATGTTTTTCGCAGATGAACTTAACCAGAAGTTTACTTAAGTATGTGACACAGGCTATGCAAATGGTGATCACTAACACAGAAGACCTTCTGAGTAGTGACATCAGCAGAAAAATTAACTATGCTTAGCAGACAATCAATACCAGAGTCTTCCTATTGTTCTCAAATCTCACAAAGTATTTTTAGATAACAAGCTGAATAATCTGTGAACGAATTTTAAAGACATTTCCATGGCAGCTCTTTCAGGTGTTGAAACTGATTTTCTGCTCAAGATTTAATTGCAATATTCTGCTGAGGTCACTTTACATAGGTCTACGCTCCTAAGGATTCTAACTACAAATAATTAAACCCAAAAAGGTGATGTTTGTACATGTACATGATGAAATACAAAATAACAAGGGACGTTGATTCTGTTGACCACATAATGAACAATAATAAATTTACAGGTCTCATAATTAATTATTTTACCTGAGTGGTTAGTAAGCATCCATAATCTTATCACTGGACTGCCTGATTGATAAAGTTTCTAAAATCTTGCTTATTTATAATATCAACAGAATTTTCCTCTTCTTTTTTGTTTGTCCTTTTTAACCTTTATAACTCCAGACTGTTCATTTGCTTTTGCTAGTTTGTCTTTCTTTTGCTTAAGAACCATGTGCGTTATTGCATTGAATACCTGCAAAACAAGAAGGCCAAAGTTTTCAATAATGCTCTTCTTTTCCAAAGTTCTAATTCACATTTTACAAATTAAATTTTTTTGCATTAAATTCAAGTGAAAAGAAGAAAGCACATTAATTGTAACTGCCATTCTGGATTTATAATATGGAGTCATCAGCACATAACAGTCCTTGTTTACATCTCTCCACCAATTTGCAATAACAGGCTGCCTTTTAGTAAGTGGACATTTTTCATCTTGTTCTTTCTAGATATGCCAACTTATCCCATAATTCCACAATAATTTAGTTCTTGTGCCGTCACGACTTCTCTTCCCAATTCAGGTTAAAATTTCTTAACCTAGGTTGTTTCTCAATTTCCTTTGTATCCAAGCCAAGGCAAAGGAAATTGAGAATCAACCTTGGTTTAAAAATTCTAACCTGAATTTAATTTTGACCTCTAACATCTAATCACAAATTCAAAAATGATCTGTCACCACATAAACATCAAAATAATGAATAAATAACCCTGGAAGGTATGTTCTCAAGCTATTCCACATCAATGATTTCCAGCTCTTTCAAGTACATACCTCTTCCACATTTTTATTGTCTTTTGCACTTGTTTCAAACACCTGAATTCCCATTTGTTCTGCAAACTTCATTGCATCCTCTCTTTCAACAACTTTTCTGTCTGGATCATCATCTTTGTTACCAACTGTATATGACATAGAGAATTCAATCAGAAAATGTCAGTCACAGGTATTTTCATGAAATTAACCGTATAATAATGTATTATACTTAATCATATATTATTAACATCATTACAGTGTGACAAGGAATCTCAGGAATGTTTATTGTGTTATCACCAATCACAGCAAAGATCAGGACATGCGAAATGGCCACAAAACCACAAAAACGTTCTTGCTTGTGGTTCAGTTTTCTCATGCCTGATTGGCTTTTTTCTTGCAACACAATAACATTCCAAATAATTCTGGTGTTCACAGTTTTCCTGGTTTGACTGTAATATTATCATCAATGCATTACAGAACTGCGCTTATTGAAACTTGTCAATGTTAAACGCAAATTTTGTGTCAATCAAATGCCTCCTATTAATTGTAGGTGGAAACTGGTGAGACATTTTGATTGTTTTGGAGACAACAGAAGAACAAAAGATACCAGAAAGATCAAGTTACGCTGTCTTAAAACATGATGCGTGACTTAATTCAGTTGCAGCATTTCTCATATCTTTCCTGCATTAAAAAGTTGGAATAAAAAGTCTGAAGTGAAGCTCAAAATATTTCGAAATAAACAGGGTGCCCAAAAAGGCGAGCATGTGAGAAATCAAAGGCGACGTTTTTGTCTCCAGCAAAATTCACCGATGAAGGGTAATTTGCATATAAGTAAGTGAAGCAAAATAGACACATATCGCTGTGGTTGAAAACGCAAAGTTTCTTTCAAGTTTTTTCCTTCTGAAAGCGAAAATTCACATGAAAGAATTATGCTTTCATAAAAATTGGACAAAATGAAACAAAGCATATTGGACAAAAGTAAGGATATTTCAGTGTGATGGAAAGGATAGATAATTATTTTGTATACTGACAAAAACAATAATGTTTTTGTCAGTATGCAAAGTTATTTCAAAGAATCAGTCTCTATCATGGAAACAATAAGCTAACACTTCACTCAGAGAGTCAAAGGACACAACATGGGTCCGCATCATTTCGTGTGCGCATAAATATTCATGGGACCCACAATTTTATGGCCAACACTTTTTCAATAGGCAACATTCCCTAATGGTAACTAAAAGTAATACCATTATCATCATCATTGGCAGAGCTCTGATCTCTACATATAGGTAAACAGCTCTGCCTTTACAAAACCTAAAAATGTACAATTTAAAGGTTTCTTTAAGGTTACGGACAATCACCTTCATATACAGTCAATGTACAATTGACTGTGGCATGCGAGTGTCAATTTTATACAATCACCTCTTTCTGAGATGGATGCCATGGTGCTCTAAATGATATGGTAATGGGTGGTGAGTGACAGAAAATGACTAACAAATAACTGGACAAGCTCAAGCCTAAAGACTCTGGAAATTATTAGAATTTGGACAAAATGCGCGTGAAATTATTCCAGGGGTGCCCAACGACAGTTTTCTGCAAAATATCTGTTTGAAGGAGCAAATATAGCCTAGAAATTTCTATACTAAAAGTAAAGCTAAGCATTTCTGGATAACATTTCTATTCATCTAAGATATTTGGAATTTTTTCAATTAGCTTCCCTACGATTTTCGGAGTTGGATTTTTCACATTTTATACCCAAGAACTGGCAATTATTGGTACAAAAAGGTCAACTAAAAATTTTGATATAAAGGAAAATTGTCTTCTAATATTTTCTAATGGAAATATGGCGACTCCGTGTCCTTGCAGTTTCGACAAGAACCACAGGGATAGCTAAAACTTTCAAGATGGCCAAAGTTCCCCTAAAACATCCAAACACATAATAAAATTTTTGGCAGTTCCAAATTAATGAAACAGACTACTAAAGCATAGAGAAATCCATTTTAGACATTCATGACTTGTTTGGAAAGATTCAGTCATTAAGTGCCCATTACCATTTGATTACACACATACTTTCCATCTTCGTATAACGAATACTGTTTATGGAAATTGTTATGAAAGCTTTTATTCTGTTACATTTACTTTACTATACACGTACAACAAGAACATGTGAGCTCCTAGGTGTTACGTGATTAAATAAAATTGATTGATTGATTGAAGGCCTTTAACTTGTGAAACAGTAAATGTAGGTTGTTAGTTAAACAATATCATTGCCCCAAACATCTACTTACCCAAAATTCTTACTACCTCATCACAATTTTGATCAATTTCATGTAACCATCTTTTCACGTTCACAAATGTGTCCGCACTCGTCACATCATATACTACAATAACACCATGTGTCCCACGGTAATACCTGACAAAAAAAAATCATACTCTTTTATAATTGGATACTAAATGACAACTAATCTAATGTCAGAATTCTCTGTTTAAAATGTAAGCATGTGTCATGAAAATTGGAGGGAAAATTTGGTAGTTCATTGGAGGTCAGTACTTGATTCTAGGCATCCCCTCATTTAGTAAGATGTAACACCTATAATATACAGTCAAAAATTTGCTTTTGTAAACTGCTACAGGGTACATGTATATGTGTGTCAGAGAGAGGTTGCAGTGGCAAAAGCAATAAACTTGGCTAGGACCACTCCATAATGAGGTGTTGTGGTCCAAAATGAAATTCAGATGACAATGATTTCAGCCCAGTTTGAGTTTCAGTTCCTTTGTCAGCCAAACCCAATAACTCTTAACCATGAAAAATTAAGGCTAGGACACAAGGGAAATCAATTTTTACCAGAAAACTCTTTCACCTGAATTTCATTTTGAACTATAACAAAACGAAGCATTGCACTTGAGCCACTATGCTACAAGTATGGTATTCATAGAGAATACTTCATGGAGAGTGCAGGCGTACGGTATTTACGCACGAGTTGTTGACATAACAGAAACCAGACGAGTGAGTGCAGCAATTGAGCGAAATTTCTGATACAAAAACAAGTGTGCAAATACCATACAAAGCACTTCCATGTGGTATTGTGTTTATTATATACACACTGAGACAGTCATAATTTTGGGGGCTTTTTTATTTCAAATCTTTCCAAAATGCTAAAATTTGCCACTACACACTGCGAAATGACAATGAAATCGAAGTATCAGCCGATTAGTAAAAAGGTTTAAAAATATAATGAGGGTAAGGATATGAGGCAATCCAAGAACTACAAGTAACCTTAACTGTTTGTTCTCAATGTACAATTGAAAATGAATGAATTTAAGTAAAATGGCCGGTTTGAATATAAGTAGAAGACAAATTAGCTCTGACAAAAAGCACAACTTAAGCTTACGTCCTGTTTATTTTCTCCCTTTCCGATGTTGTTTTGCCGCCCGGCTCCCTACAGTTTTCTTCATCGACAATGAAACAAACAAAACTATTCCACTCCAATTTCCAGGATGTTTTTCACTTTTTTAGAACAAAAATTCTTTGAAAAAAACTTTTCTCATTGAATGTCTGCGAAGCTGCAAGCACCTATAAATGGCAGGAATTTTGCCGCAAAACTCATGGCTTCTGATTAGACATATCATTTTTCTCACATGTGAAAAAACATCGTTCACGATTCTTATTGGAAGTATCTTTTTTTTTTCATGTGTAAAAACCACCTTCGTTCCTCTGATTGGCTAGAACTCAATTGCGTATGAAAATTTACGACATAGCTTTTTGCTGAGTATTTCTCAGTATGTACTGTATATAATAAAATTTTATACATCTTTTGTCTGACTGTAACCCACTGGAGATAACACATCCTGTGACCAATACATTTTCCAGCAAAGCTTGATAAATGAATAATTCATTTATCAAGCTTTGCCTTTATGATACAAACCTTTAGCCGAGAAATCTTTTTACTCAGAATCAGCTTATAGCTGAATGCTTTGTTCCAGCTTATTGGGATACTAAAAGTAAGAAGGTTGTGCTATTACAGATGCTCATTTGTTTTGACTTCCACTAGAAAAGAATACTGTAGTCTGAATACATAGAATGCAATCTGATGATGTGTGTTTGGACCTTTTGTCACTCACTTGCACTCACAAACCTTTGGTTATCATTAGTTATTACTATTAATAGAAGGGACAGTATTTCTATTACTTATTTTACACTTGAATAATAATTATCATTCACGTGTAAAATAAGACAATAATTATTATTAAACTTCACACTGTNTTTAACTTGTGAAACAGTAAATGTAGGTTGTTAGTTAAACAATATCGTTGCCCCAAACATCTACTTACCCAAAATTCTTACTACCTCATCACAATTTTGATCAATTTCATGTAACCATCTTTTCACGTTCACAAATGTGTCCGCACTCGTCACATCATATACTACAATAACACCATGTGTCCCACGGTAATACCTGACAAAAAAAAATCATACTCTTTTATAATTGGATACTAAATGACAACTAATCTAATGTCAGAATTCTCTGTTTAAAATGTAAGCATGTGTCATGAAAATTGGAGGGAAAATTTGGTAGTTCATTGGAGGTCAGTACTTGATTCTAGGCATCCCCTCATTTAGTAAGATGTAACACCTATAATATACAGTCAAAAATTTGCTTTTGTAAACTGCTACAGGGTACATGTATATGTGTGCCAGAGAGAGGTTGCAGTGGCAAAAGCAATAAACTTGGCTAGGACCACTCCATAATGAGGTGTTGTGGTCCAAAATGAAATTCAGATGACAATGATTTCAGCCCAGTTTGAGTTTCAGTTCCTTTGTCAGCCAAACCCAATAACTCTTAACCATGAAAAATTAAGGCTAGGACACAAGGGAAATCAATTTTTACCGGAAAACTCTTTCACCTGAATTTCATTTTGAACTATAACAAAACGAAGCATTGCACTTGAGCCACTATGCTACAAGTATGGTATTCATAGAGAATACTTCATGGAGAGTGCGGGCGTACGGTATTTACGCACGAGTTGTTGACATAACAGAAACCTTGAATAAATGAATAATTCATTTATCAAGCTTTGCCTTTATGATACAAACCTTTAGCCGAGAAATCTTTTTACTCAGAATCAGCTTATAGCTGAATGCTTTGTTCCAGCTTATTGGGATACTAAAAGTAAGAAGGTTGTGCTATTACAGATGCTCATTTGTTTTGACTTCCACTAGAAAAGAATACTGTAGTCTGAATACATAGAATGCAATCTGATGATGTGTGTTTGGACCTTTTGTCACTCACTTGCACTCACAAACCTTTGGTTATCATTAGTTATTACTATTAATAGAAGGGACAGTTTTTCTATTACTTATTTTACACTTGAATAATAATTATCATTCACGTGTAAAATAAGACAATAATTATTATTAAACTTCACACTGTAACCACAACATTATTTCATTGCCAGAAATTTGCTCAACAAGTGCCACCATTACTCAACGTCTTTGCAACAAGTTCCTAAAAATGTCCTTGTCTACTGTTAAGTCAAACTTACGTTGATGTTATTGTACGAAATCTTTCTTGGCCTGCTGTATCCCAGATTTGTAATTTAACCATCTCACCATCCACGTTTATCTTTCTTATCTTAAAATCCACCCCAATGGTCGTAATGTAATTTCCTACAAATTAATAACATATAAATATATCACAAAAGGTACCCAGAAGTTATTTCCCTTTTGAGATCAATATTAACCTGGACTAGATGTGCCAATTGTCAAAAAATCTGGGGACAATGCCAGATTAGCCTCAGAAAACAGCTGACATTTTGCAACACTATTACTGGTTTCCTGGTTCATTATACATCTCTGGGAAACTGCCCACCTACCCATCCACTCAACCAACATTACTTCTCACTCAGGGCAAAATGTTGGCTTAGGGGAGGGGCAGGTCGGCAGTTTCCCTGAAATGTATAATGATCTGGTTTCTCTGTGAAATGATGTGTGAGAGGTGAGAACAGAAATTCCATACTGATGACGCAAGACTACCCAGATCTAGGAAGTGACACGTCATCAGTATGGAATTTCTGCGGTCGTACTCAGATGTCATTTTGCAGAAAAACCAGTGGTGGCATCGCGAAATGTCATCTGTTTACTTAGACTAGCAAAGGATTTGCGTCACTCAAATCAAGTTTTTACTGAGACAGCCACTCAAGGTGATCTACAAGGTGATTTACAGGACATGAAAAACAAGCCTGGTTCTATTGTATATCTAGTAATTCTGTTACAAACACTGTACCTGAGAACATATTATCTGCAAATCTAAGAAGCAAACTGCTCTTTCCCACACCTTAGAAGAAAAATAAAATTATTGTTAGCAAAAAAACGTTATCTATCAAAAATTATAAGTGAACTCTAGTCTCAAGGTCCTGCACTATCAGTAACTGTCAGTAAAGGCCAGAGACAGGGTAACAAAAGGAAAATAGAGCCAAAAAAATTTCATACCAGTTCCATTTCCCAATTGCTAATAGGCCATTTTTGAGTTGCCCCAAGCCTCTGTTTCAAATTGAGGCCAGGTGGTAAGCTATTGCAATGGAAATGATTTCTTTGAGCCTCGTTTTGAGAGTGAGAGTTTTTGGAACCTGGAAATGACATATTGCATATTGCATATAGCTGGCAACTTGAAAACTCATATATTCAGGTCAAACCCAAATTGCAGTTTGGTTCACCCCATGCAAAGTGAGGCGTCTGACCCCTGTCTAACTGATTACAATGAAGCTAATGAAAGTTAAGTTTAATAAAAACACCAGTAAACAAAATGAACATTTCGTGTTATGTGGCTACTTAAGGTGTTTTGATACGGTTTTTTGGAGGTCATACCGATATTTTTTGGTCGCTTTAAGAGTGATTTTATCTTGTCCAATCGCCATAAAATTTTCACCAGTGACTAACTATGAATTGAAGTTTGTCAACATACAGTTTTTAGTAAAGTTGATATCACTATGACAACAATAAACAAAAAAATTGAAATCAATAAAAGCCAAATTTTGCGCGATCTAGACCTGCTACTGAAAATCCAACCCTAGGAACTTTAAGTGTGGTGTTTAGCATATAACCTCCACGAAAAACAAAAAATTCTGTATGTTTGAATTAAAATTAAACCTAAATATATTTTAAACCTGATATTTCTATATAACTCAAATTAATCTCAAGTAGCATTAAATGCTTAATATCATTTTTCACTGCTTGGAAAGTTTGGTGTATTTTGTGTCTTGTTATCCTAAAAACGAACCTGTTTTCTAACCACCTATCTAAGTGCGACTTTACTTGAAATTTGACTTTTAGCAATTTTCTTTATATCTCTGGAATAGCTTGAAAGAATTCTTTTCAAACCTTGTCACATAATCTTCACGATGTATAAGTTGTAGTTAATTTTTTATCACAGGTAATTTTTATTTTTCCTTTGTTTCAACTTCATTAGCATACATTACCATACCCAAAAACAAAGGAACCTGAGATAAAAACTACAATACCTTGAAATTTCAAGATGAGCCTAGCCTACGAACCAACCGAAAATCCTTGCTACAACAATTTACTGTTTTGAAACTATGCTAAGTTTTCCAAATTAATGCTCACCATTTATACCTCCGTGACCCCATGAATTTTATTGCATCTTTTGATGTAAAGCATTGTCAATACTTTCACTTTCTTTGGCCCTCGAAAAAACTGTATCGAAACATCTTAAAAGAAGCACTTAAATGTAGCCTTCACAGAGATGTGTACATTAACATGGTATATTGTTTTAACGGCAGCAGGATTGGCTCAGTCAGTAGAGCCCTTGATTGTAGAGCGGGAGGTCGCAGGTTCGATTCCCAGGGCCAGACCAACACTCAGGGTCTTAAAATAACTGAGAAATGAAGATACTCCCTTTGCACTGCAAGTGGCTTGACCTTCACATGGTTTGGATGACCACGTAAAAATGGCGGTCCCATCTCCAGTTGGAGACTAAAATTAGTGTCTCCAATTAGTACTTTCTTGCTAAATACCTTGACACTCAAATAAAGTGCATTTTTATTTTTTTACTTTTTTTTGAAAGCTTAAGTCTGTGGACAGGTCACCCAGTGTGACCAATCAAATTAATGAAACCCCTTTGCATGGTGGTGTAAGCTTATTTATTTCTCCTGATCAAAAAAAGTTGTATTTTCTTGAGAATCGTGATTGTGAATACTCTTAGGAACTCAATGGCTAAATGAAGTGGATAATAATGGTCATAAAACTAATTTGCTTTTAAGAAAAACGTTAGGGTCATCGTACAACAGCTTGAATATTTGCCGACAAAACATTTCTAATTAATTGAGCTTATTTAGAGGACTCAAAAATAAAAATTGGCAAGAGTCCTTTTAAAACCCAGGACAGTGTGAACTAGGCCTGAAAAAAAACAGGACAATTTTTAGTGATATGAAGCCCAAGATTGTTTGAGGAGCAACTGCGATAAATCGATTATTTTCACGTTAAGTTATTGTACGATGTGCGGCCGAACAGATCAGACACATGCACGTTTGTTTACACTGTCCTGGCTAATCGATCGCAAGCCGGCAGTCGTGTTAACATTCTCAGCGACGCACAGAGAAAGAGAAGCCGTTGCTGTGCGTCTTAAGCATTCAAAAGAAGCTTGATCAGAGCTTCGCAAACCTTTTATGTGTGTCAAGAAGATAAGTAATTTTTCAACACCCGAAAACTGTCGCAGCACAAATCTCCCCGGTTCAGTCTAAGGTCACAGTAAAAGTAATGCTTACCGCTATCCCCAATGATTAGGAGCTTGAATAAATGGTCATAATCCTTCGCGGCCATGTCTTAATTCTTATTTAAAGCATTTATAGTAACCTAAATAGCATCAGGGTATATTTTCGGTCGCCTTGCTTGCACAGGAAGTAAGCTTATGTCAGAGTACGACAAATTGTTGGTCACGTGGTAAGTCGAGGTGGGGCTTAAGCTCGACCCAGACCCTTGGCAGGAAAATGTAGAGGCTCGGCTAGCTGGGATCAAAGGGCGCATCAGGGGTGAATCCCGCCCGGGGAATCCCGTTACATTACTGGAGTCAAGGTCACTAATAACTTCCTTGCACCCTATGCTGGTACCCACACAACCTAACCAAGTGACTCCCATTGCAGATCCCTTCCTCTAGTACTAGCTTTTAGACTTTGTATCATAGAAGAGTCATTTGAGAAATTTAGAGTCACGTTTACATGGCAAACGACAAACGTGAATTTGTTCCACGTGACCAAATTTTTTCCTTTGCAGTAAAACCACATTTATAAGGACACTGAGGTACCCATAGAAAGTGTCCGTATTAACAGGGTGTCCGTTTAAAGGGGGTTGAATTTAGAGAAAATGTACACTTCCTTTTCCCAAGGACAAAGTAAACTGTCCGTGTTAAGGAGGTGTCCCTATTACATGTTAGCGGAAGTCCGTAAAGACGGGATTGACTGTACTTGTCTTTTACTGTTTATCATGTAACTAAACGGAAATCAGTCGCAAAATATGAAGTGCTGCAAAATATATTCAAAATTTCGACAGCAAAATTACGACCCTGGGTACCAGAGGTTTTCCTCGCGAGCGGCGGGAATTTTCGGTGGCCGACGGCCGTCGTACAAAATTACTTAAGACCGTCCAACGGGCGCCGTACAAAATTACTTAAGACCTTCCCAATGAGAACTGCCATGCGGACGAGAAAGATGAGGAAAGCTTTTCCTTCTGTCTTCTGAACAACTACGTTTCGCAAGGCTCCAGTCTCCGTGGAGCTTTTCCAGGGCGGGGTCGCGTTACAATTCTTCAAGTTTCTTTTTTTGGTATTACTTCAAAGTGAACCTTAAAAACACATTGGAATAAAATAAACCTATGAAATAATGATTCTATAAACCTCGACTATTAGTGTATGCCGGTAAGGTGGCTTTTCGATGGGCAGCCGATGGAAACGGGTTGCAACTTGAAAAGTTTGGGCCCACATTTTCAAATTCCTGTGCTTATAGCTACTTGATAACTTTTCATTTTGTTCCAAGTATAACAAAAATGACTAAGAATTCAGCTCACCGTTGCCCAAAAAAATGATAGCCCCTTAGAGAAGGCTTAATCCTTGATGCGCACCGCAAGGGAACCGAATCATTTGAGCCGTGTGTTAATTCAAACGTACTCTTGTGTTTTCGTCACAGTGTTGTGACATCATTATGATTTTACCAATGGGATAGTCCCTTCCATATATAGGATATAAACCGTAGAATTCACAATCTCCCAATACAGTTAAAGCCATAAACGCTCACTGAACTTCAAAAGTCAACCTGCACTCAAAAAAAATCTCAAAATGGGCTTCTGGCGCTGTCTGTTGCCATTTGCCCACAGGAATCAGTCTCTGCTTGCATTCCGGTGTATAACAAGGTTTCAAATCTCACAGGTTAATAACAGTATTGCAGATGAAAGGTAGGTACAGTGGCGTAGACAACAGGGACAACAGGGACTCCAATTCATTAGACAAACAGGTTGCATATTTAATAGCTAGTAATAATCCTTTCGCAAAAGATAGTCGAGTAAGGATGACCTCACAGAACACGACTTCAGTGGAAGAAATATAATAGTCATTGTGAAAATTAACACCAAACTTGATAGTCCCGTTATTTAAAATTCTAACATTTATACTCCGAGGCTTACTGATCCTATTTCGATGTTTGGTTTGGTTTTCTATTGTGTTCAAGTCGCTCCTGGACTGCGGATTCGACAATGAAATCGTGAAAAATTTGCACTGATTTTAAGCGGTAAGGCCTCTGAGGGTTATTCTTTCATGTTACGCTTACGCTAAATAGACCTACTGTTTCATATAATAGTAATAGAATGTCCATACTCATGTATACCCTGTATACCATGTATACCCATGTATACCCTTTATACCCAGTATACCTTATATACCCTGTATACCCATGTATACCAAGTATACCTTGTATACCCTGTATACCTTGTATACCCTGTATACCCATGTATACCCTGTATACCCAGTATACCTTATAGACCCTGTATATTTGATTTTTTAAAATAATTTTATATATGAATATGTTATTTTAAGAATTTATATATTGAGTTGTTTAGTTTTTACAAAAATGCGTGCGTGAATGGAAATGTAAATGAGGTTAAAAAATGAAAAAAACATTGTAAAAAAAACTGGGACTTCCAATGAGGAGGGACTGGTGGGGGTGGGTGTGGGTTGTTGGGTGGGGGGGGGGGGGGGGAGTTTAGCTCAACAGGGCACAACTACCTTACATCTAAATAAATGTTAAAACATACCTTATTTCTGTAGTAGTTTGAGCTTATCTTGATGAGGCTGTCAAGCATCTTCTCTGCCTCTTTTGACTGAAGGAAATATGATCAGGTATCTTAAATGATTGTCTCACATGTAAATAACCAATGTTTGTACCACCATGTACATGTATGTGCAACAGGTCATGTTATGGCATTTACAATCTTAATATCTCTTTTTCCTCTGCTATAATATCAAATTACATCTTCAATCTGAAAACAAATTTCTATGAATGGATAATAAAACTTCCGGCAAACCTTTAAAGCCTCGAAAAGGCTGTACATGTGGTAACGTTACATAAGCACTAAGAATCAGGTTCCCCTAATACTCACATCTATTTGGGATTTCTTGATGCGTGGAACAAGGTTGCCTTTAAGATGCTCTCCAAGATCTCTTCCTAAGCGGTTTTGGTCGACAGGCCATAGCTCACAAACTTGTAGAAACCTCTTGTAAAGTTTCGGTGCAAGAGCCTTTCTAGTCGCCATATTGGATTTATATATGAACGAATCCGCTGACCTGACGCTGTTAAGCCAGGTTACCGAGCAGTGTTTGTGCGGTTATTCTTTCATGTTACGCTTACTAAATAGACCTACTGTTTCATATAATAGTAATAGAATGTCCATACTCATGTATACCCTGTATACCCTGTATACCCATGTATACCCTGTATACCAAGTATACCTTATATACCCTGTATACCCATGTATGCCAAGTATACCTTGTATACCCTGTATACCTTGTATACCCTGTATACCCATGTATACCCTGTATACCCTGTATTCCCATGTATACCCTGTATACCCGGTATACCTTGTATACCCTGTATACCCATGTATACCTTGT